GTCCATCGCGGACAAACAACGTGACACGTAATTTTTATAAATAAAGACTAGCTGGCCATGCAGACGTTGTTCTGCCCTTTTCGACGACCCTTCATTTAAAAAATCCTTAAATTCGTAATAAAAAAATATTGAGTGCCACTTATCAGGATAAAAACTATCCTATCTCTCAAGTTGGACAAAACTGCACAGTGTGCAAAATTTCATTGACATCAGTTCAGTAGTTTAGAAGTTCATCGCGGACAAACAACGTGACACGTAATTTTTTTATATAAAGAAGATTATAACAGTTATAAACCTCAAAGAGTACAAACATAGAGGGAATCCTAAAATGAAAACAAAATTATTTTAGGTGGTTAAACTTTTTAGATAGGGTGACTTACATTTTACATGATATTACTCGTAGATTACTGTATAGTGTATATATTAGAGATGAAGTATATATACTGAAACAGATCCAGGCACTAGGTATTAAACAAGACTAGGTTGCACTTGTCCCAACTTTTAAAAGACTTGATGTCTTTTAAACCACCTAGTGTCACTGTGCCTACGCGTCTCACAATCGAACGCGCAATCCCGAACCCTATATACAATGTACTCTGTGCCCGAATTAGGGATGTGAAAAAATAATCGATTTTCATATTAATCGATTATTTTTTTCTTATAATCGATTTTTCGAAGTCGATTTTTTTATAATAAAAATCGATTTTTAATAAATCGATTTTTATGTAAATTACGCGTTTCAATCGATTTTTATTATCAGAGTCATCTGTGCGATGGATGTAAAAACGTGAAGTAAGTTCAATAACATGAATAAGTCAATCAAAAGACGGCGCCACCTTTATGTATCTCTATGTATGTAAAACAGTTTCGCTTTTCGTATGTTTTCAACAGGTTTCTTCCTCCGCTAGATAAGATAAGATAAGATAAGATATTTTATTTACTAAAACATGTGTGAGGGCAGATATATATTCTTGGTGTTAGTGTTATTAGTATCAACATGTCTTACCGATATTCGGTGTGTAAAATTTAAAGTGTTAGGTTGTTAGTTTTCATTTAACATTAGCAGTCTATTAATATACAAAGTCAGTGAAATTATTACTTACAACAATTATAATTAAAAGTATATGTATGTATAAGGCAATTATATAATGTCAAAATTTATCATTAAGAAAGTCAGTTAGAGTGTAGTAGCATTTTTCAATTAAAAGATATTTGAATTTATTTTTAAAAAGATTGCTATTCAGTGATCTGAGGAATTTTATTATAGATTTTAGGAGCCATGCATACTACACTCTTTCTTAGCAGAGCCGTTCTTGCTTGTTGCAAGCACAATTTACTTCCATCACGACGATTGCGCTTTACTTTGTCAGACAACCGTGGAAATAGGTTAGGATTGGCCCTGACAAAGAGAGCCATGTTCAATATGTATAAGGACGGAAGTGTAAGAATTCTATGTTTAATAAAATATGGCATACAACTATCGGCAGTCTGAAGACCAAGGAGGAGTAAAAGTATTCTGTGGTTTTCTTTCTTTCTTTGGTTAGTGTAAACAATTATATATAAACAATAAAAATGTCTTGTGAAACGCGTAAGTGACTGACAGAAGTATTTTATAATGAAAAAATGATAGAGGCCAACACGTCTATAGGCAAAAATACTGAATTGGATCTATATATTGCGGCACCACTATCAAATCTCAAGGCAGATGCCCTCAATATATGGAGAAGCTCTGAAGGAACTTTCCCTAAACTAACCGAATTGGCTTTTAAACACCTCTCAGTGATGGCCAGTTCCGCGCCAGCCGAAAGATTATTTTTGAAAGCGGGAAATATTGTTAGGAAAAAACGAAACCGTATTTTGGGAAAGAGACGAAGAAGAATTTTGTTTGTTGAAATTTTGATTGTTTTTAAAGTCTTTAACTGAAAATTCATGGCAATATTTTTTTTACTTTTTTTGTTTACACAAGTTTAAAAAAAGATTTGTCTTGTATTTTAGTTTTGAGATCAAAAGGTTGTCGTCGGATTATTTATAATTATAATTTTATTTTATTTTATTTTCATTCCAATCCAATGTAAAATGCTACTGAACATTAGTGGCATAATGATATTTAGACTTTTTGTTTGTTCAAATAGTTTAAAAAAAGCTATCGTTTACTAAAATTGTGGTTTCTTTATGATTTCTTATATTTACGCGAAGACTACACATTAAATGAAATTAATTTTTACGGATTTGATCACGCTTAACTTAACGTTTTAATTCCTGACGTTTCGGGTGCTTCACAGCACCCATGGTCACGGGGGGAACTGAGGTCTTTGACGTCCAGATGTCATAGTTAGCCTGGCTAAATTCAGTTTTTGAATATTAATTTTTGTCTGATCTACGCAGAATGAGCTTACAGTATCATGAAGTCTTACAGCGGTATGCTTGGGTTTGGATTTAATTTTATTAATTATAGGATGCCAAGCAGATGGCAGCACCCATCCATCTTCTCTATTGAAATTAGGATGTTTTTTAATTTCGATAGCCTCGCGAATCATCCTTGGTAGTAATCGGTGTTCTTTTGCGAGGATTTGTGGTTCAACTATGACATAGGGACGTCAAACACCTCAGTCCCCTCTGTGACCATGCGTGCTGTAAAGCCCCTGAAATGTCGGGAATTAAAAAGTTAAATTAAACGCGATAAAATCCGTAAAACTTAGTTTAATTTATCGTTTCTGTTTATTTTGGTTGTAATAAATTGTTAAATGGCACTGAACATTTGTGGCAGTAATTATTTTTAGTTTTTTATTGTTCAAAGTTAAGTTAAAAAAATTGTTCTGTAGTTTATTTCTAAAACCAGAAGATTATTTTTCCAATAAAATATTTTTTTCGCAAAAATCGATTATTTTTTTTATAAAAAATCGATTTTTCTTAAATCGATTATTATCACAAAGCAAAAAATCGATTTTTTTATTAATCGATTTTTTTCACTCAATGTCACATCCGTAGCCCGAATCGAACAAAAACCGGCACAGCCAAGCGAGATAGCATTTTATTGTCGTAGTTCCGGTATATATTACTCTACTCTATGTGTCGTAGTTACTAATCTGCTTTGCCGCTCACTCGTGTTTGCCTAAATCATTCATGTGTCAGTCATTTGAATTTGAACTATATTACAATGTATATAAAATTAACGCGACGCACACTCGTATTGTGTAAGAATATAATATTCTGTCCTTTTTTAACTACACTATTCCGCAGTCTTTCTATCTTTTTCTGTCAATACGCGATACTAGTCGGGACTAGTCCCGTGGACTTCAACCAAATACTAGGCAGATTTTATATACTAGGTACTTGTAAATACTCAATGCGTATGGAGATTGGAGACCATATGATGCAGTCGAGTGTCTAGTACGAACTCATGCAAATGTGATCTCGGCACCGTATTGATACCTAAGTCGAGTATTATTTAGCAATAGGTTTTCGTAACGAAGTTTTGTTATGTGGTTAAAGAACTTTCGATTTATTTTTTATTTAGACATTACACATTAAAGAGTTTATTGTTTAAAAAAAATGGCTTCCAAAAGAAGCAATGTCACTTGGGATCATTTTACGGACAAACTTAGTTTCAAAAGTGATTTTTTCGTGTATATAAAAACAATGATTGTAGACAGGTAATAAAAAAAAGAAACAATAATAAACGAAAAAATAATAAACAAAAAACGGATTACTCTGAAATAAAAATTAATAGAAAACTTATACGTCAACAATCTAGAATGTAAATAAATCTTGACGATGACAGTCTTAAGCCTATGTAAAGCATGAATGGATAATTACTATTCATTACCTTCACGTATCGGCTGTACGCAGACTAAGTATATTTTAAAATGCTATTGCTATTCCAACTATACCAAACTTTATGCGTACTTCATAGACTAGGTAGAACAGGTGTTTGGATCGAGTATTTGTACGGAATTCATAGACGTAGTATCTTAATCCTCTATCTACGACGGAATTGGACTAAGTGCACCTACTACCTAGTACGACTCATCTCTAGTATATATACTAGAGATGATTCAAAATAAGGTTGTAGCTTTATTAATATCACCCCTCTTCCACAAATTCAATATTCCCATTCTTTATTCAAATCTGCAAGCTGGTAGATGTTGTGTTCTACCTACCATCTTGTGTACCTTACGGAAGTGTATATTATTGTATGAGCTTTTGTTTCTTTTTCTCATTTACTTTTTATAAAAAAGAAATTAATTTTGACCTAAGTACAGTATTTTTTGTCGTAGTTGTAGTTCTAATTATTGAGTGATAATTAATAAATTAATGTTAGGATTAGAAATAACTATGATTTTTTTTTAATATCCAATGATTTACTTTTATAATGGTAACACTAAAGGTAGGTTTTCGTATCAGGGAAACGAAACCGTATCTTCAAATCCGATTGGCTGAAAAAACAATTTATTTCATTTGACTTCCATCAGCACCAATCAATGCTTAGAGATACCTCAGCCCATTATATCTATGGAAGATAAAACAGCAATACCATTACCAATATCTTTTTCTGCGAAATTAGCGCGGTCTCGGGCCCACTAAAATTCAAATTTAAAATTCTTCGCATATGAAAGCTGTAATGGGATATGTTCAGATTTAAATAACAATTTTAATGAAAAAAAGGATTTAAAGATATAATTTTTTTAAATTGTCCAGATTTATAGTTAGGCTTCTGAAGATTGTTCAATGAGGCAGGGGCGGCTCGACTTTCCTCTTCTAGCGCAGACCGTAGCCCTACCGAGCAGCGCCCCAGTTGATACGGATCGAACGATTGCGTAGTCACTGTACGGAATCCGAGCTTCTGAGCTATTAGAATATAGTCTTGATTAATTTTCCAGTGCTGTGAATTCTAAGTTCAAAAATATAACAATTTCAAGAGTAAATTAGCGTCAATAATGATAATGGTTTTCTTTATTTAATTTTTGAAAGTATAACTTTAATGTCAGATCGTACTCAAAATGGAAGATTCCTACATTATCGCCAACTTTCATTCTCTTTGCCGCCTTTGCTTAAATAAAAGTGCGCTTACCACATCAATATTCGGAACTGCTCCTGATGAAGACTCTAATATGACTCTAACCTCTAAAATCGCTGAATGTTTTGAAATGCAGGTTTGTTAACTTTAATCGCAAATTTAGTTTTTTATGAGTGTTAAATCTTTAACTATTTTTATTTTGCTACAGATGGACCCTAATGATGGACTTCCAGGAAGGATTTGTTATAAATGTTTATTTAAAGTGAATAAGTGTTCGAAGTTTAGATTAAAGTGCATTCAAAATGAGGCAAGATTAAAGCAAATTACAAATCGTGTCAATGAGTTAGACAATTCCAATTCATCTGAATATAGTAATTACAATAACTATAAAAATAACCATGAAATTCAGAAACCTAAGCCTGAAGATTATATTGTTGAAGATAGTGTGGTAATGGTTGTTGATCCTAGTCTTGATTATGACTCCTCTGAAGAATCAGAAAATATTGAACAACCTGAGAATGAAACAATTGACCGTGATAACACACCAGAGGGAGAGCCAATGTCTGAATCTTTTTTTAAGAATGTCTTCATGTGTCAATATTGTGATCAAGCTTTTGTTTCCCAAGAGAAATGTAAAGAACATGAACAAGGTTATCACGATCCAAACATGCCCTATAAATGTGTTGAGTGTAGTATAGTCTTTGCAGAGCGTAGTCAGTATGTGCAACATACCAGACATGTTCATGGAAGTGATAAACCATACAACTGCCCTGAATGTGATAAATGTTTTGGTAGAAGATCAGATTTAAGAAAGCATTCTATAGTCCATACTGGCATAAGGCCATTTCAGTGTCAATATTGTCTTAAAAGTTTCTCTCGTAATACAAACTTAAGTAAACATTTAAGAATCCATGCTGGTCATAAACCACATGTATGTCCTATGTGTCCCAGAAGTTTTGTAGCTAAAGGAGATCTACAACGTCATGTTTTAGTTCATTCTGGTATGAAACCTTATGCTTGTCGTAAATGCCCTCTTACATTTGGTAGAAGAGATAAATTAATAAAACATCAATTAAAACATGGACACATTAGCCCAGAACACAAAACAAATGAATCTGAAAATGATCAGGAGACTCATGACATGGTTGTGAATGTTAATCCTTTTAGTAACTTAATGTCTTCGCCTACACAGCTTAATCCCGATACTGCAATGAATTATGACTTTCCCAGAGTACCAGATCACATAGTTGGTGAAGGTAGTTTTATAAATCAAGTTAGAAAAAATCCACCCACCTCTAGTAAATTAACTCAAAGTTCACCAAGTAAACCAAAAATGAGCACCAAAAATAAACCTAAAAATATAAAATGCCACCAGTGCCCTAAAAGATTTTCATCATTAGATGCCTATAAAACACATGTCTCAGTTGCCCATATTGGATCTAGAGGGTTTCAATGCAAAGTGTGTTTTAAAAAATTTTCGAGGAGAAGAGAATTAGACCGTCATGCAACACTCCATTCAGGAACAAAATGTTTTTCCTGTAACCAGTGTGATAAAAAATGTAATTGTAAAGAAAAATTAGATAGCCATGAACAAATGCAAGAGTGTGTGGTTGTCAATATGCCATGCATTGAATGTGGAGCAACTTTTAAGAAGAAAGCAGATTTAGTTGCACACATCAAATCACACTTCAGTGATAATTTTGATGATAAATTTAATGAAACAGAAATTAAGAAAGAGACTGAAACTGATTTTGAACTGCATGAGAATTTTTATGAATTGGAAACCTGAGGTTTAGAATGTGACATATTACAAATATCATGATAAACCTATGTGCAAGTCTTATCTTACTAGTAATAATGCTAGAGTGAACTTGAATTAGCTCCATTGTCATGTCAGTAATTATTGTAATAGTAATTTATGTAATTGTGAAATGTTAAAGTACATAATCTCAACATTAATATATAGATACTTATATAATATAAATATTGTAAGATTTTAAATTCTTTAAATGATTCCGTCATAGGCTGATTCAATAGAAAAGTAGATATTAAAAAATAATGTGATTTTTCTTTAAAGAAATCTAAAAATTTTAGTATTAATCATGTAAATTTTATTGGATCACACTGATTTATTGATGCACACAATGTCAACTTACAATTGCTAACATATTTTCAAATTAAGGTAATTAATTTTATACCACCTCAAGTTTTTTGTACCTAGAGTTTATGAAAAATGCAAAATGCACTGTTTATTACTTGTTGTCAACTTTGTTATTTCCTCTTTAATTATGTAGATCACTCAACCAAAATAAATGTTATAATAATTAGGTATCTCTTTTGCAATTTTTGTCCTAACTTGGATTTATAAAGAAAAACAAATGTTATGAATTTATTTCTTTATTAACCAGCTAATGGATTTGCATGAATTGTGACTGATGTTATTCTGACTTCTGTTATTGGTTTAAATGTTTTGGGATTCACTGCTAACTTCTCCAAATCATCAAGAGCTTCAAAACCATCAATAACCCTGCAAGAAATGAGAGTATAAAATACAATCATCAAAATCTGTCAATCTCTACTAATAATAATAATAAGTTTCTGGTATTCACATAATCTGAAGATGGGCTGGCTACCACACAGTTAAATGGTAAATATTTCTGCTTGATAAAATTGATAGACTAGTTTTTCTTGAAAGCCAGTATTTATGCTTACAAGTAATTTAGTAGATATCTTTATTACCATCTAATATATCTTAAAACTATAAACTGAACCATATACATAAACAAATTTCTCCTATATATTTCTCACAGCTGGGCACAGGCCTCCCTATTTCTGAGAGACTTCAGGTCTTCAGGACATCGAAAATATATTTGATTATTAGCTTCACTGACAAACACATGGTAAATCATCATATAACATAGCAATTAACAATTTCATTGGTGCCAGCAGGAAGTGAACTTGCATTGTTCACATACTGTAAAATTTATAGTGAATAATTTACTCCTGAGTTACCACCACATCTCTTTTTGTATCCAATATCTATGTTCAAATATATTCAAAAGCCATGCTGCAGCTATATTAGTAGTATATTTGTAGCACGAATGGGTTGGCTCTACCGGGGAAGGACCACGCTCTCGCAGAAAACCAGCATAAAATAGCAGCTTAACGCTGCTGTGTTTCGTATGGTGAGTGTAGAGAACTGGAGACCCTTTTTACTGGCAAAGAGGCATTCCACCTTAGTCCTCACGGGTGACAACGCATCTGCATCTTGAGTCTATTGAGGATAGATATAGATGTCTATGGGTCACAGTAACCACTTACCATCAGGTGGACTGTTTGTCACCCTATCCTATAAAATAAAAAGTTTCCCAGATATCGATACTCAAAAATTGAATACTAAAACCGAATCAGCACATCCAGACTCCTCGTAGTCTTGTCTGCCCTACCCCTAGAGTTTTGTAAACCCATAGACACGGAGGAAGAACAGCCCCTGCTTGCTGTAGCAAATAGCAGGCACCTGTGTGAGCCTTAGCGGCTGAGGCTGGTTGCCGAGGTATAGAAATTATTTATTCTTATTTTTCGGTGTATCTGTTCGAGATCTATGCAAATCCGCCTTCAAATTATTGTGCCGTGGGAACCATAGTCTTGCCATCTTTTTTGCATAAATATTGGCTCTTGGATTCAAATTTGATGAAGTACCCTCTGTGAGTTAGTCTAACCACACACTTCAAAATAATGAGCAGAAGCAATAAGTAGGTAGGACCGATTTCAATAGGGTTAGTTGAATTGTAGTATACATATTACAGTGCAGAAAGAAAATAAAATAACTAAAAATAAGTACTTAATAGATATTATCTGTAGTTTTTAAATGCTTTTATTAGGAATTTTTTTTATGTAAGTATAAATTAGGTAATTTAAATTTTCTAACTAATGCAAAACAACAAACCTTCCAAATACAGTATATTTGAGATCCAAATGAGGTTGTTCTCCATATGTAAAGAAAAATTGACTACCATTTGTATTAGGTCCATTATTGGCCATGCTTACTGTTCCTCTTGTGCTGTGCTAGTAAAAGAAATTTGTTGATTAAATTCATATACATTATGATATGCCTCTGATATATATAATCATTACACACACACACACATATATATATATATATATATATATATATATATATATTGTCATAATATGGAAATACACAGAGTGCAAGCTTCTGCGGCATTAAAGGTATTTCACCGCAAATTCAAATCAACCTATCAAGGTGGGCAATCATGGCAAATCTTCATACTACAGCTCATCTCTATTATATCAGCAGAATTTTTAAATTAAAATCTTTATACTATGAATGATACTAATTTTGCACATTACAAGGCCAGCCACATACATATGGAATTCCGTTTCGGAATTCCGTTTTGCCTGCAAAATTTCAAACAGAGAAGTACCATATGTGTGACGGGTCATAGGTTTTATTATAATTTGCTGCGTTTGGAATCCTAAAACAGAATTCCGTATGTACGTATGTGGCCTGCCTTAAAGTATACTTATTTTGGATTTTTACTATTTCAAATAATTACAAGCAAAGCGTTATTGTGACTGTTTTATACATACAACACTAGCCTATAAATATTATTGAACTCACTTTAAGTTCTTCCCTAAATTCATCATCAAATTTCTTTCCCCAAATTGAATTACCGCCTTTGCCTGTACCTGTGGGATCTCCTGTTTGAACTATGAATCCCTAGAAAAAATAAAAAAAAAACATTTTACAAATTTTATGTGTAGGTATTGATATTGATAAATGTAATAGTTAAATATACTATACGAACTTTAATATTTCTATGGAATAAACAACCATTGTAATAGTCACTAGCACAAAGTGCAAGAAAGTTTTCACAGGCTTTTGGACACTGTTCGCAAAATAATTCAATTTTAATGTCTCCCACATCAGTGTGTAATGTAACCGACATTTTTCCCTTCTTTTAAGTTTCCATAAGAAATAAAGTTATAATTAACTGAATATATATAGTTAAAATAGTATGTAATAAAAAAGATGTATGTACTATGTACAACAACAGTAATTATTTATTTACAATTTACAATTTTACATTCTTCTTTCTTAATAACTGGCTTTACGGCTCTGGGATCTAGCCCTTCTGAGCCTGAAGTTACAATATATTATAATAATTATCCTTCATAGTATACTGCTTCACGATATGTTGATGCGTCACATTGTGCAGCCCTTAGGAGATCTTGACGGCAAATTGAGCCAGCAGACAGCTGACGGTTGGCGATGGTATCTCAAGGCGCCTAAGCAGACAAACACCTGATTTTGAGAATCACATCACCATCAGAGCACTTGTTTCACAGTTTCCACTAATAGTTCACATGCGCAGACACTTAATACACAAAATCGCACCACTTTTACATATCAAAGACCACTTCAAACCATTATTTAAACAATAATACAGGAGCAGCAAACCGCCGCCGGTCAAGTTCCTGCCAAAACCTCCAAACAATTTACAATGTAGATAGTAGAGATGGGTAACTCAGGAGAGATAGATACAAAAGATATGAATCAATCCGTTTCCATCAATCACTCTTTATATCCATCCGCATCCGAATGTATCACTGTATCAGTATATCTTTACAACTTATTCACTCAAGACATCTTTTAACTTTTTCTAACATCTGTGTCGCACATTGCGCACACTTCTTTCTATTATACCTCGGCCGGCACGGCCGGTCGTTCCAGGAAGATTTCGGAAAGTCCATAGTACAGACGTTTCTTTCGCAGCTCACTATTTAGAATGTTCTGTCGCGCTTTGGCAAGACGGAGAGAGTGAGTTGTTTGACCATTATAAACTGTAATACGCTAGCACAAAAAGGTAAATTGATAACTCTATGACTGGTGCATAGGGCTTAAAGTCATTAAGCGGTACGTTAACATTTAAGTATTATACTGGTTTGAACTGTACCTATGTGTACTTTGCCTATAATTTTTTTAGTAAACAATGCAAACTAATTTCAGTTATAAAACCATAGTTTTTAAGAAATTTTTATAATCGAAATTAATAGTCGTTTATATCCATAAAAAAAGTAGAAAAAAGATTTGTGATTTACAAAATTAAACAAATATATCAGTTTGCTTCATTAGTTCAACCTTAACCTCAGTTTGGGAACGATAGTAATATTGTTTGCGTTAATTGCATCGAATAGAAAAATATTTGAAGTTGTTTTGTACACTTAGTGACTGTTTAATTTAAATGTAGGTAAATAAGACATTCAGTGTCAATAGTTTAAAGTATTTTTTTGTTCTGTACGTACAGTTAGTGAATTTTTCATTTATTTTAAGTGTAAATAGTTTTTTTGTGCAGTTAGTGTTTTATTAATAAAAAAAAAAATGGGTTCACGAAAACAAAGCGCAGTGTGGAATCATTTTGAGGAAGTAGAACCAAAAAAAAGCAAAATGCCTTTATTGTGCGAACATGCTAAATGTACCCGCTGGAAATTGTGGTAACCTTCTCCACAGTACCCCTCGTAGCTAAAAGACAGCCAACGCAGCAGGCATGTTTTCAAGAAGCCGAAACTATATAATATATATTTTCTACAAATTAATACAAACAATACCTACCCTACCTACGTTATTTTCGTTAATCATTAATTTAATTATTATTGTAAACTAAAAATTTAAGTTAATTTCTCGAATAAGTGCCTATTAATATTTATCAATCATAACAATAACAGCGCTCGCTGTAAGTTTCACAGTACGCAAGCAACCCGGGTTCGATCCCCACCGGCACCAATGAAATTGTTAATTGCAATTTTAATTGCTGATTTAAATCGTGAGGAAACCTGCATGTCTGAGAAATAGGAAAACTTTATTTTTTTAATAATAACAAATAGATACCTAGAAAGAAACAACAGACAAATATATCTGAAAGATACACAATGTTACGACCAAGCAAAATGCAAATAGCTCTATAGGTACTTATCTATCACTCTTACTGATAGGATTGAGTTGAGCGAAGAGAGCCACGCTGAGTGAGCAACGCAACGTAATGCAATGCGTGTCGTGAAAGCGAGCTTGATCTACTGATACATAAGGATATAAAGATATAAAAGAGTGATACATATCCAAGTGATCAAAAGATACATATCAATCTTTTCTTTTAAGTGATACACATTGCCCATGTCTAGTAGATAGTATGGAGTGTAGAGATAGGTAGCTCAGACTAACTAGTAGATTCTACTATTCTATATATTTATTTATCTATGATTCTACTATATAGTTTGTGGATTCTATATATAGTGCCACCAACTTATCTGTTCAGTTGACAGCGTCGCTAGTGGAGTGCTTACTATTGCCATTTAAGAAATTCACCGAGGAAATAGGTAACAACATATTCATTACACATAATATAAAATGAAACAAATTTCGTGATAATATATTAAAATTAGTGAGAATTAGTGTTATTATATATACTATTTATATTTTATAAAAATAATTGTGTTCGTGATCTCGGAGTTCAAGCGGCCGAATTCCAGGAATTTCTGTTTTGAAAAAATGTACCCGCGTTAGCTACTGGTTCCAATAATTCATCTTCTGGAATCGCTTTCACTATCGCTCTGACACTATAATAAAGGGTTCATTTAAATACGCGTCTTTTAGTCTGTATTCATTTTCAATTTTTTTTACATGATTATAAATGTTTTTCCACTGCACCGGTGTAATTTTATGAAATGAATTTTCAGTTAATTGGGGCATTAGAACATTAGCAACACAAACTATAAAGCTAGGCACTTTAGATGAATTGCAGTAAATTGAGATATTTTTTTACTATGTTTCACAAGTACATTATTTGGTGATTTTAATTTTCCATATCTGGCAATACTAACCTGTCGCGGCAGCAACGCGTTCATACAGCTTTTCAAATGGTATAGTTGGGACTCGTACACGTTTCTCTTCTTTCATAAATGATAAAACTTTTAGGATAATCTATCGCGCATCACTTTTAAGACCTTTAGGCATTTAATTTACACTTTTTAAAAACACTCACCTGATAGCTCAGAATAAATAATAGCTGACAGCGAAATGTCATTTACAAAATGGCGGCTTTAGTTCCAATTTTGTCCACCTGAACAGATAAGTTGGTGGCACTATAGGTACATTCTTTCCTATAAAGATTTTCATTTTTCACAATTTTATTTTAATTTAATTCAAAGTGGAGTCAATGCCCACCCATAAAGCCTAGTCTGACGTGATTTTGCTTATATAATTCAAAAATTAATAATTCTTATTATGTTGATACGTCATTTATAAGAAGGGGATGGCTATAGTCCCCCCCTAGATAACATAATTAAAATCATATACGTCCCGTATTTGATTTTAATTATGTTTTCAGTTTAGGAGGCTTATGGGTTAAGCTAGAAAATTTTACACTAATTTTGGATGTCAGAAATACGTATTGAATTAATTACGATAAAAAAAATCACTAAAAATTGCGTATAACGAAACGCAAATATGTCAATTTGTTTTTTTAACTTGGAGTCCAACCATTTGGTCCATTAGTGGCTGAAGATGGAACTCATATACAACGATTGAGTCGCAATGAAGAGCAGTCAAGAGGTTTATCGAAAACAAAATTATAACAATTCACAATACACTGTTTCATTTACCACTATCATAGCGGAGTTTAGGGCATCTGACTTTATAAATAAGGTAGCTTGAATCTATACTAAAACCAGAATATTGCTATTTTAAAACATGCGACACGCGACAGCATTATTAATGAAAGAGTAAGTATTTAACTATTAATATGTATTATTACCGTCAAATACCCCAAATTTTCACGAATGTTGATGTTATTTATTTTTGTAGTAAAATAAAACCTGAATTTGTACTTTTTTGTATGTTGGTTTGAGCTTTAAACCTTCTACAAATACATTTTAAGAATTGAGCACTTCTGGCCGGTTTAGCTTATTATCATCACAATATAGGTACCTATAAAGTCAGCTGTGTGCTTGTATACTGTGATCAATGGCAGCTCCGTGAACGACTGTCTTATGAGAACAACTGTTTTTATAAATCGTCCCTGAACTGGAGGTGGGCAAAGTGTATTATTTTTGCGATTGGAACATTTGCATCTTGATCACTGAAATGTTCCGAAACACTGATATGTTTCATTTGGCTCATTTGGATCATCGACTCAAAAGATATAAAAGAAAAAATGTTCCGAATACATTAAGTTGCGTCGCAGGCGTTTATTAGTGACTGATCCGTGAAATGTTATGTGGCAACAATGCTGAATAATATAAGTGCTTAGATTATTTATTGTGTACCGTAATAAGATTGTATATAAAATCGATTCTCCTTCATACTTTAAAAAAATGTCACTATGTCAATTCATTATTTACAAAAATGTCCATTTACACAAAACAGCAATGTCTATGTACACAGAATTTACTCGTAAAGTATCATAACTCTAAACTTTATAATGAAAAGGAATAAAGTAAAGTCACAATAATTACTACCCAAAGAAATCTTAAACATAACTCAGTATGTTTTCGTAAACAGGCGCTAGTGAATATAAACAATTTGACAAGTGCCGCATCAACGTAAAATGACAACTTGTTAATGCAAACATTACATACAAAAAACGACCGTATAGTATTTGACATATAAGCGCCTTAGTGGTAATTTTTACGTGCATGAATAACGTCGGCGAAAATCCGTACGAGTTGATTGATACACTTCTTATTTGATATCTCTATCTGACTTGTGTGGATTATAATTATTTCGCCCGCTCACTCGCCACTCGTGAGTCAATAGTTAAGTAAAACATTGTCTCAGTCTGTCTCTCTCTCGCTCGTGGCTCAGTCGCCTCGCAAGCGACGCGTCGCGCGAAATAAGCAAAGAGCAAAGTAATGTTTCACTGTTCCAGATCGAAATGATACATTTGAAAAGTTGTTACTGAACCAATCTTTTGTATCACTTCAGTGATTCGTATCAGCGAGTCATTTCCGTAAAGATATACACGCCTACCCTGAACACATATGTTTCGACATCCGCCCTGACTGCGTCTATTTCTCTATAGTCACCGATACCCGTGCGAGAGGTATAAAAATATCTTATACAAACTCCTTGATGACGGGGAGTTCTGATTTGTCTAATTTGGATTCCTCAGCGACCTTTAATTTGATAATTGTACATTGACTACCAAAATGAATACAACCCGACATTTTGATAACTTTAAAATATTTACCCGTTTTGTGTTTCGTCCTTATTAATTTGTAAAACTCTTTTTTATCTGATCTGTTGTCGTCACACCTAATAGATACTTGTTGTAGGAGTTTAGTGATGTTGATGTTTGCCTACACTTCCGGGTTTTATGTTCTATCCTTGAACATTTGTCGCATCGGAGTATTCGTTTTGGACACGTCTGGTACTGTATCGCATTTTATCTTGAAAGTACTCCTCCGGTCACTCGTCTCTTTTGCTTCTTCTATGCAGAATTTTGTACAAGCGATCGGCATAATGAAGTTCATCTGGAAAAGTGTTTAACATACGACGCTGCCATTTATGTCAAGTCAGGTTTACGGAACTTCGACCCTGATACCGTATGCTTGTGAATGGCATGACAAATTGTTTGTTTCTCAGTCGTTAACTTTTCGAATCCAGTCGGGTGCTTTTTGAAAATTTGCGTATGGATCAAATTCTGGGATAACATTTTGTGCGCCGTAACTACTTAATTTAGCAAATTTCGTTATAAAGGCTGCCTTATGGCTGATGCCATAAAGTGTTATTTTGATTTTTGTCCTTGTTTTCTTTCTTACTACGCCGTATTTTGCTAGTCTACTATGGACTTCAAATGCATTTACCTTAACAAAAAGAATATCTTCGGTGAACGGCATGCACAATGGTGCCTCCTCCTACATGTCTGATGTCAGTGCAATTATCACCAGGAGGAGAACAAATAAGGCCTAAGGCTGATCCTTGGTGCAAGCCCACGGTGATATTGAACTTGTCGGATGTTCCAGCTACAGACCGAACATGCGTGCTGAATCTGCTTTCAATCAACATTTATTCTGCAAAAGCAATGTCTGCGCATCATTTATAATATGTACTCAGACGAAACTCGAAGAAATATATACAAAGAAAAGGCTATCTCACTCTTACTAATATTTACATTTTAGAAATTTAAATTTTTATCAAACAGAATAACAACTATTTCCAGATTAAATCTAACTTGAATTCGTTCAATGCGCAGTCAATATAAGAACAATTTACGTACACCTAAAATTATCTAATAATTACATGGGTACTTTTTGCACAGGTATTAAAATATTCAATCATCTGCCACCTGATATAAAAGCTATGGACTTGCCAAGATTTAAAATACACTTTAAGAAGTGGTTAATATATAATGTGTTTTATAATTTAAATCGCGAAAGCTAAATCGCTTAAACAGATTGCAGGAAAGCGAGAGGAACGATGTTACACATCAAAAATTAAATTAAATTAAGCAAAGATCATCAGTTAAAAAATTGGATTGTAACTGTAAGAAGTTAACACGGAGAAAATATAAAGAGACGGCCTAAGCAACTGTGCACGGTGCAGTGATTCCAACTACCGCCCTGACATCATCACAGTGGGCGTGGCTTTACTTAGTATACTGTCAGCGTTCTTCCTGTGAGTTTATGTGTCGAAAATCACAAATCGGTGTATTTTCGTAGTATTAAGAAGAAAAGGACGAAGTGTTGTGTTTTATCGTGTAAGAACTATTCAGATAGACGATCTGATGCTATGGATGACCACATATTTCATTTCTAAATAATTTTATACCTAATTTATTAAAATAGTTCTAACCTCTGCGTTGGCTTTCAAATATAATTAAATATATTCAACACTAGATAGCAACACTTTGTGTCATGGGAACTAAAAATATAAAGGTACGTAGAGCTCAGTATTGGTAAAATAATCATACGAAGGTCCTGAAATTTGTTTTGCTTTCAGTCCTAAAGAAGTTTTAATCGCCAAAATATTATTTTTATAGTTTTTATAACCATTTTGTGAACAGGCCGCCTCTGTCTGTCGTCGAGGTAGCTAAACTACATTGCAACATCGATATGGAACGATGCGAGTAGTTTTAATATTTATCGGTAGGTGGAAAACAGTTAAGTAGGCGGGGCTTAACACCCATCACCTCGCAAATTGTCACGCGTTGTTACATAGTGAAATCTAATTACAACACCGCCTCTTTGTATTTGCTCCATGGTTTTTAAAATGCACCCACTTTATTTCAACACAGATTCTATTGAAAACTTCTTTGGTCAAGTGAGCACAAATAACTTTAGAAATAATGATCCAGATTGCTATACCTTTGCGAACACTTTTATACGTGGTAGAGCCATGCTGTCGCTATATTATTAGTGTAGTTGTAGCACGACTGGGTCGACTCGACCGGGGAATGACCACATTCTCACAGAATACCAGCGTATAATGTCAGCTTAATACTGCTGTGTTTCGTATGGTGAGTGTAGAGTACCGGAAACCCTTTTTACTGGAAAAGAGGCATTCCATCTTAGTCCTCACGGGTGACCGCGCATCTGTATTTTGACTCTTTATTGAGAACAGATTTAGATGTCTATGGGTCACGGCAACCACTTACCATCAGGTGGACCGTGGACTGTGTGCTCGTTTGTCACCCTATCCTATATAAAAATAAAACACTATTAAAACGTTATTATTAACTGGGTTTATAGTTCCACAACGCATTTGACGCTCCTACGTCTGTATGTGTAGACGATACTCGTTTTATTTTGTAAAAAAATTCTAGTGCATTGGAAAGCAATATAAATTAAAATCGGTATTTTTAAAAATATTTAATTGAGATCAAATGCTACTATACTATTCACTGCCACCAGCTCTTTCGTTTTGTCCGGCGTGCGGCTCATGTGTATTTTCATCCATTCCCTGTTCCCCATAGTTGCCAAGTATTCTTTGACCAGTGGGGTCGAATGGGGATCTCAAATGAAGTGTCGCTTTGTATTTCTTTCCCATAACTTCAATCTCGTAATCACCGTCATTCAAATAACTCTTCGTTACTTCTAAGCCATTGTTGCTTACATAACCGATACCGATAGGTTTGTCAAGGTAGTACGCATAGTCGCCTCTTCTCAAGTATCCCACTGGTTCACCGTTTCTAAATATCGCTTCTTGACCATAAAGTGCTACCTGAAAATAATTTCATATAAATTAATTTACATTTTTTAATATTGTCAGAGCCACTGACTTTTTTTCTAGGTTGGATGTAACAGCAAAGTTGTACCTCAGGACCAATTTAAAAACTGAAAAAGTCAATAAAGCCACTTTAGACTCGTAATTAATATCGTCCTTGTCATATACTCATATAGTATATATTTGGCAGGTTTATTTTGCAATAACCGGCCAAATTTGCAGAAGAGGTTCAGAATATAAGCGAACGGTGAAAAAAATATGTAAGAAAAAACTCAAATATTTTATCCTTCTTATCTTTCATATTCAAAATGTGTGGTAATGTATTATTTTAACTGATTGCCATTAATAAATATGTAGCGCCTACTATTTTATTAGCACCGCACACAGTCGTAAGGGAGTCGTAAGGGCGAAATACAAATCAACGTACAAATATAATAGCATAAATAAAAATATTAAAAGCAAAAAAATTAAAAGTAGGGCTATACTATTTAGCCGGTTAAACCGGCTAAAATGTTAGCTAAGTTAATTAACTATGTATACAGTGTCATTTTTCAGAGTAGAAAAATTTTAAACTTAAATTGAAATATATAAATAATGATAATGCGTTATTGAAGTTTTTGAATACGAGTAAATAAGGCTTCCACTTTTATTTGAAACTAGCTGATACCCGCGACTTCGTCCGCGTTGCTTGATATATTAACAAAGTTTTGGCTTATAAAAATCGTTGTTCATTAAAACTTTAATAACTTTATATTGAACGAAGATTTCACAATTTTTTTTATAATTATATATATAATTTATAAGGGTGGTTAACTTAGAAAACTTTATTGAAATCTATCCAGTAGTTTTTCCGTCATGCGCGCACATCTGCAAACTTCTATCATTTTATTAATACCTATAGATTATCCAAAATTGAATGTGATTTATGGGCAACAACGGCATAGGCATAACCTACCGATTGACCCTTACAAATGTGTAAATGTGCAGTAATATCAGTTAAAATAATGCATTACCCTGCATTTTGAATGTAAAAGATAAAAAGTACAGAATTATTGAGATTTTTTTAATTAATTATTCTTCACCATTTGCATATATTACTTATTCTGAACCTTCTCTGCATATTTGGCGCTTGTTAGGTTTTTTTTTTTTTTTTTTTTTTTTTTTTTATAGGATAAGGGTGACAAACGAGCACACAGTCCACCTGATGGTAAGTGGTTACTGTGGCCCATAGACATCTACATCTATCCTCTATTACAAATCAATATGTAGATGCGTTGTCACCCGTGAGGACTAAGATGGAATGCCTCATTTCCAGTAAAAAGGGCCTCCAGCCACCTGCACTCACCAAGCGAAACGCAGAGGTAAACCTCTACTTCACGCTGGTTTTCTGTGAGGTCGTGGTACCACCCCGGTTCGAGCCGGCCCATCCGTGCGACAGCAAAAGCTACCGCGTGGCTCTACCACTGTTAAACTTTTTTTTTTAACTTTGATAATGCCGAGCTGTCCAAGTTCTGTTTGAAAAGTTCCCAGTCTAACCCATAAACGAGGGTAGTATGAAAATAAATTTATTCTGACACGATAGTCACGTCTATGATTTAATCATATGGTAAATTTCAATAGTGTGGTATTAGGTATATACATTAAAGTCCAAAATTGACGTTATTTTGTTTTCATCATCGATACTACATTATTTTTAATATTTTCATTTGCTAAGTGATCTTTATAAGACGAATAAAACTACTTTTTACGGATTTTATCGCGTTTAATTAACTTATTTTATATTCCCGACGTTTCGGTTGCTTTCCAACAACCATGGTCACGGGGGACTGAGGTGACTGACGTCCCGATGTCAGAGTTAACTCCTGTGTGTGTGCCTGCTGTACTACCATATGTCCGAGGTGTCACAGACAAGATTGGCTACATCTTGAAGCGAGCTTCTATTAGAACATTCTTCAAGCCACCGAAGAAGATTAGTCAGTTCTTACCATCCGTCATGTGCAATATTCGTCTACAAGATGCAGGAGTATACAAGCTTGATTGTGAGTGTGGTCTCTCATATATAGGGCAAACAAAACGATCAATAAAAAGAACACATAGCTGACGTGAAGCGCCAACGTTCCGGGAAGTCTGCAGTTTGTGATCATATACTAGACGGCCCCCGTCAGTCACCTCAGTCCCCCGTGACCATGGTTGCTGGAAAGCAACCGAAACGTCGGGAATATAAAATAAGTTAATTAAACGCGATAAAATCCGTAAAAAAGTAGTTTTATTCAATGTGTAGTGTTAGCGTAAATATAAGAAATCATTATTTTATAAGACGAGTTAAAAGTTCACGTCTTTTTAACTTTTTAATTTTGAAACAACCATAGCGAATGCGTATGTATCAAATATATATTACATATTTTTGAGGGTTTCGTGGCGCAGCGGCTTAGCAATGAGTTACGTCACTGAAGGCCACGAGTTCGAATCCCGCGCGGAACAAGTATTTGTATGACTTACAAATAACTGTTCTGGGTCTGATTATTTACCCATGTGAAATTTAACCGTCTCCGAAACTGCAAAATGCTGTGTGCAATTTTTAAATAATGTATGTTATTCAACATAGTAGTTTACCTTATCGTCGAGAGTGAAGTAGGCATATTTCTTCGTAACACCATTTTGTTTTGCTTTTGTGACATGTTCGTTACCAATATACTCGCCACCCTTCCTACAAGCGAATCCTAAGTTAGCTTCAATTGGATTATCGTCAGGCCGAAGGTCAGCGTTCCATAAGTGATAACCTTTAACAAAAAATTTAAAGTAAGATAACATCTGACATATGTTCCAGAGCTGGCCACAAGTCTCTTAGTCCAGTGCCAAATGGCGATTTTAAAATTGCGAATAACAACTGCTCCTTCAGAGAAAGCAATACAGTAATAAGAAAATTTCTTTCCACTTCTAGTCATGAGGTCATAAACCACTTCTACTATAGGAACGATTTGGCAAAATCGCCAAGCTAGGCAAGTGAATGAGGGCTAATAATTCTACGCTCACCAGATGTCGCTAGTTGAAAGTGAGATTAAATAATTTCTTACACAATGTATACATGACACCTGCAGGGGGTTGACAGGTTTTGCATGCCCGTGTGTCAGCCGACTCCGTGTGCCCAATTGGCAATTAAACACGCCTTGTCTTTAATCTATAGATTAAAGATAAGGCCGTAATGTAACATTTTCAAACATTTTCGAATGTTTTAACTTGTTTTTGTTTTGCCGCGTAAAAGGAGGTAGATATTAAAAAGTTTGTTGTGTGAAAAAAATGTATTGATGGGGTGTGATTTTTTAATCTCCTTTGATATAATGTTGTTGTTTTTTTTTTTTTTATATAGGAGAGGGGGCAAACGAGCATGCGGCTCACCTGATGGTAAGTGACTACCGCCGCCCATGAACAACCGCAACACCAGGGGAATTGCAGATGCGTTGCCGGCCTTTTAAAAAGGAGTAGGCTCTTTTCTTGAAGGTCCCTAAGTCGTATCGGTCCGGAAAAATCGCTGGTGGTAAACTATTCCACAAGGAAGTTGTGCGAGGAAGAAAACATCTTCTAAATCGCACAGTGGTGGACCGCCAATCATCCAGATGGTGTGGATGGTATCGGGAGTTCTGCCGCGATGTGCGTTCGTGAAATTTGGCGGCTGGGATTAATCCGAACAATTCCTCAGAGCACTCCCCATGGTAAATGCGAAAGAAAATGCTAAGAGATGCAACATCTCTTCGCAGTGCCAATGAGTCGAGCCGATCGGAAAGGACTCGGTCGTCGACGATTCGAGCCGCTCTGCGCTGGATGCGGTCAAGTGGAAGAAGCTGGCACTGGGGAGCCCCAGCCCAGAGATGGGAACAGTATTCCATGTGAGGCCGAACCTGCGCCTTGTAAAGTTGCAGGCGTTGAGCCGGCATGAAATACTGTCCCGCTCTGCTGAGCACGCCAAGCTTTTTAGAGGCCAATTTGGCCTTCTCTTCCAAGTGACCACGAAACTGCACGCTACTCGATATGTCGACGCCGAGGATTCCGATACTGGCTGAGGCAACAAGGGGAGTACCTTGAAACTGAGGAGATACGACAAAGGGGTTCTTTTTAGCGGTAAACGCGCAAACTTGTGTCTTCTGAGGATTAAACTGGACTAGATTTAGTCGCCCCCAATCCGAGACTTTGTCCAGCAAAGACTCGACTTCAGACACAAGTTTGTTCCGGTACTCGGTGACGTTTTCCCGAGAAATATTGGCACGGCCGGTGTATAGAGCATCACCAGTGCTGTCATCTGCATAGCAATGAATGCTACCAGCTTGCAACATATCATTGATATGCATAAGAAACAGCGTTGGTGATAGCACGCAGCCTTGTGGAACACCAGCGTTAATAGGCTTGTAGTCGGAGCATGCACCGTCTACAACGACCTTGATGCTCCGATCTGCAAGAAAGCTGGTGATCCAATTGCATAATTTCTCGGGAAGCCCATAGGAAGGGAGCTTCGAAAGAAGCGCTTTGTGCCAAACCTGATCGAAGGCCTTCGCAATGTCCAAACTAACGGCCAATGCCTCCCCCTTGGACTCTACTGCCAACGCCCATCTATGAGTTAAGTAGACCAGAAGATCACCAGCTGATCGACCCCGACGAAAACCGTACTGGCGGTCACTAATCAGCTGGTGATCCTCAAGGTACCGCATGAGGTGGCAGTTTACAACGGATTCCATTATTTTGGAGAACAAGGGGGTGATGGCGATAGGCCTGTAGTTGGACGGATCTGAGCGGTCGCCTTTTTTAGGGATCGGGTGGACAAAAGCTGTCTTCCATGATTTCGGGACTACGCCTAGGGAGTAGGAGTACCGGAAAAGACGCGTTAGGACCGGTGCCAACTCCGGAGCACACGTCCTCAGCACAATTGGGGGGATTCCGTCAGGCCCACTCGACTTGTGGATGTCAAGGGAGAGGAGTGCTCTGCGGACCGAGCGCTGTGAGAATCGCACCTCCGGCATGGAGCACTCACACCGCGGGATGGTCGGCGGTGTGTTCCCCCCGTCATCAACAGTCGAGTTGGACGCAAAAAGGGAGCCTAAAAGGTCGGCCTTCTCTTTTGCGTCGTGGGCCAGTGAGTCGTCCTCCCTGTGCAGAGATGGTAGTGATGGCTTACAGAAATTCCCTTGGACAGCCTTGGCGAGAGACCAGAATGCACGGGTTCCTGAAGGAAGGCGAACTATAGTCATAGAGCTATAACTATAGAGCACATAGGCAGAATTGGCGAGAAGCTATAGCTTCTCGCCAATTCTGCCTATGTGCTCTGACTTTGCCTTGGCAATAACTCTTTTGAAGGACCTGGAGGCGAAGTTATACTTCTTTTTGAGTGTGCTGGTGTTTACATCCCGAGTCACCGAAGCCGCAGCCCAGGCTTGATAACACTCCTGCTTACTGCGTAATGCAGTCTTACAGGAGCGACCAAACCAAGGCTGAGATCTGCCTCCGATGGGTACCACAGATGATGGAATAAATAGTTCCATTCCCTGTAGCACTACATCAGTGACAGAGTCAGCAACAGCGCTGGGATCATCCGGCGAGAAGCAAACCCGCCCCCATGGGTAGGAAGCAAAGAAAGACCGCATTCCGTCCCAATCCGCCGACCTGTAATGCCAAACACGGCGGCAACCTGCAGAACGCAACCGCGAGGGGAGCGTGAGTGGCACCACACTCCGGATCAGACAATGGTCCGAAGAGCCAAGAGGGGCATCGACGGAAACCTGATATCCGTCCGGATGAGAGGTCAGCAGAAGGTCCAACAGGGAAGGTGTATGATCCTCAACATCTGGAATCCGCGTAGGCGATGTAACCAGTTGTGTCAGACCATATGCCAAGGCAAAGTCATAAACAGATCTCCCCGCATGATCGGTTAAACGTGAACCGAGCCATTCGGCGTGGTGGGCGTTAAAATCGCCAAGGATCACGATCTCTGCGGATGGGACCTGTTGTAGCAAGGAATCTGTAGCCATTTGGACGTGGTCGATGAGTCGGTCTGTTTCGGCATTACCGCTATGGGACCTATAGAGGCACACGTAGACGCGCGGATGGTCGTCGCTGTCTACGCGTAGCCAAAGGATGGACAGGTCCGAACCTTCAAGACTGCCGAGGCGTCGAGAACAGACGTCCTCTCTGACATACACGCAAACTCCAGCCCGAGGCACAAAGGAGTGCTCCAATTTGTACCCCGGGTAGGAGAGATACGAAGTATCAGCCGGAGAGGACACCTGCGTCTCGGTCAGAAAGAGCAAGGCCGGCTTCGCCGTCTCAAGATGGTAGTGGACGGCGTTTAGGTTCGAGTGAAGTCCCCTGATGTTGCAGAAATTCACGGATAGCGTGGCAGGGGTCGCCTTGGTCTTGTTGCTCAGTTTGCCCCGAGCAGTTATTGTGTTGAGCGGAATTTTGCCCCCCCCCCAGAATACGCGGGGCAGCCTGAGCACCCACGCTCAGGAGTGGAATAGCATGGTCGTGGATGCTCAGCGAGGGATTCTCCAGGGGTACTGGTACCCTCCTGGGGTAGTTTATGACGTAATTCCGCTACCATGTTGATGGGGGGGGGAATTGGGCATCCGGTCACCTGCACTCACCAGACGAAACGCGGAAGCAGAGCTTCCACTTCACGCCGGTATTCTGTGAGGTCGTGGTACTAACCCGGCTCGAGCCGGCCCATACGTGCAACAGCAAAAGCTGCTGCAAGGCTCTACCACAGTAAAATTTTGTTGTATTATTAAGCAAATAAAACAAATACCTTTTATATAATGGCTTAATTTCATAATCCTTACAATTTATGTACAAGAAACCGGCAAAATTACGTCACGCAATTTTGAAATGCGATTGATCTATAATATAAAAATGAATCGCTGAATATGTTTCTAAGCGCAAATCTCGAGAACAGCTGAACCGATTTCGCTAATTCTTTTTTTTAAATATTCTACAAAGATGGTTCTTACGGAGAGAAAAATTTCAAAAAATTGCCTGACAAAGTCTAAAAACAACACTTTTCTATATTCCTATACAAAAGATTCGTAATAATACTTAAAGGTCAATTTGAACTTTAATACCATACCATAAAGTTTAAGTGTTAGTGAAGGGGTTCCGGGAAGGCAACACAATTGAGTGACGTTAGTATCGTATAAATATTAATGTCAATATTTGTCAATAGTGTATTATAATTTTTATTTTTTGACATAATGTAATTGTTGTTTTTACTTTCTTTTTTCTTTTTGATCTTACTAGCTGACCGGGTGGCCCAAATAGCAGAATAAGTATTAAAAAAAAATTAAAGAATCGACTGTTAGGCGGTACGAAAATCGCCGGGTCAGCTAGTAATATTATAAAATAGAATATAATATTTATAAAGAAGAATCAAATATATTAATTCATAACAAATCGATGCGTATAAGTTTTATATATAGCTTGCATACAAAATTAAAAAGATACCATTGTTTACATTAGCGCCTACCGGTATCGCGCGACCTTCCGAACGGCCCCTGACACTTGAAGCGTAAAAACATAAAATGGTCGGACACATGATTATTGATTACAAGTTTATTGATTTTTAGAGTATGTAAATACACAAAACAATGCCTCAGTAATTTGCTCTTGATTTGTTGCACTTTTTTACCCTTATAAAAAATCTTTTTTGGGAATATCCGTAGTTTGGTTTATCCATTTCTAATTCTAATTAATATAAAATATAACTTATATTTCTGAAAGAGACATTAACTATTACATTTTTAGAACAAATTAACGTCACCAGCTATGAAATCTGTCAAATATTTCACATCACTCCTCAGTGGCGCCGCCCTGGCAGAAAAACCCATTCACGTTTCCACCTGTCGCCGGTCGTTGTAATTTACATCTGTTATGAGACGAGCCATTGCCTTGTTGGTCTAATGGTCGTAGATATGGCGGCTGATCATCAGGCCGTCGGGCCAAAACCAGTTACTGGGTTTTTCTGACAAGAAATTCTTAGTGGTAGAGTATCCTCTTGCCTTGGAAAGTACGGTAAAACTATTTTTCCTATGTCATATTGCCGTCTCATCGGACTATGAGAGTTAGAGAATGGACAGTGCTCGACATAACTTGCAAGGTTTATAGAAAATAATATACATTTCAATAGCAGTTTCTTGTATAATTAATTGCTTTCTTTTCTTTCTTCCGTTTAGTTTTTCAATTTTATCTTGACATTGAATTAATTGGGACGATCATGCAGAACATTTTCTTATCACACACAAAGAGCAAATTAGCACGTCTGTGCATTTAGTTGAAGTGATCCATAAACATATAATGCTTTCACAAATTTACCTTTTTCAGCACTCAGCGAAGTCAAAGCCCGCCAACCAGCATTCTTCAAGCCCTTAGCAGCGCTTAAAGCCTTGTATATTTGCACCGCGTGGGATGCAGGAACGTGTAATTCCCAACCCAATTCGCCAGACCAGCCAACTCGCAGTGCTCTGCAAGTGTAAGTCTTATTCTCTGGGGAATAAGGTGCTTTCGATACGTGAATACTGCGATGAGTGTTTACGGGGAACGCGTCGTTTGATAGACCCGCGTCTGTGTAGCGTTGGAGGATCCTTTGGCTGAAAATATGCGTAACACATAACGGATTACTAATTATTTAGTGATAAAGTTATCGCTATTCGTATTGTGACTTATTTTTTATAAAATAAGGGTGAAAAACGAGCACACAGTCCACCTGATGGTAAGTGGTTGCTGTGGCCCGTAGACATCTACATCTATCTTCGATTACGAATCAAAATGCAGATGTGTTGTCACCTGTGAGAACTAAGATGGAATGCCTCGTTTCCAGTAAAAAGGATCTCCGGTTCTCTACACTCACCACATGAAACACAGCAGTTTTAAGCGGCTATTTTACGCTGGTATTCTGTGGTCCTTTCCCGGTCGAGCCGGCCCATTTGTGCTACAACTATAGTACCAATAATTGCAGCATGGCTGTACCACGTATAAACTATAGCACATTTTCCAAATTTGATATAAACACAACACAAAGATCTAACCTATTCAGCTGTTTAATAAGACCTTTTGTTCATAACCGTTACCGTTACGGCTTATTAAAATCCATTGTTGAACATCCTCCGGCCTCCCCTATAGATTGCGTCATAGGAGGGGTATTTTAGCCCTAATTGCCACGCTTGACAAGCAGGTTGGCAACTGCAGTTTTTATTATTTTAAGTTGTTTTCGGAAGATGGATGGAGGATGGAGATGCGGCTGCCCATCTCGTGTTTCAGTTTCCCTCTGTCGCTTCTTAAGACACCCATAGGATGATATTCTTTTTTTTTTTAAAAAAAACGTTACCCCCACACTAGGATTTTCTCCTGTATCGTGGAGGCAGTTTACAAACACAAATTTCACAAGGACAAACATCCAGACCCGGAACAATCATTTGTAGGCCATACAAATACTTGTTCCGTGCGGGATTCGAACCCGCGCCCCCCAGCGCAGCAACTCATTGCTAAGCCACTGCGCCACGGAGCCGTATAACTAGTGGATAACTAGTGCATATTCTTACACCGCCACTACACGGAACAAAAGATTACAGATGCCATTTTAATTACCTATCTGGTCCTTGAATACTGAGGATGCAGAGTTGTTTGCTAACATCTGTTATGTTAGCTCTGAGCTTGTGAGTTTGTATAATTCGCCTCAAATGCGCCAACGTATGCATAGCGTTGAACCCACTCGATACTACGTAGAATCCGGGGCCCTGTAAAAATCGTATAAACAGTACATCAATATTCAATCGAATAATTAGATTGCGAAAACCGTACTTTAAACTTTAGGTTTAATAAAAAGAACTGAGCAACTTCATGTGTCCACTGTTCGCCGTGTAGTGGCGGTGTAAGGATATACACTACTCCATATCGTCCAGTGGTTACGTTGGAAGCGACTGAGGGAAACTGAAACAGGAGATGGGCGGCAGCATCTTCCTGATAACAACTCGAAATAATAAACAACTGTAGTTGCCAACCCGCTTGCCAAGCGTAAAAACTGTGGCAAAATGCCCTCTATGTGGCAATTTATTTAGAGAGGCCTATATCCAGGTGTAAACTTTAAAGGCTGTAATGGATTGTATTAATAAGCACTACTGTGTCAAGTTTGGTAGCTCAGATGGTTAGCGCTCGCTGTTAATTTCACAGTGCACGAGCAACCCCTCGATCCCCGCCGGCACCAATGAAATTGTTAATTGCAATTTTAAGTGCTGATTTACCAAAGGCTAGGCAGTGAGGTAAAACATCGTGAAACCTGCATGTCTGAGAAATAAGAAAAAATATTTCGAAGACATGTGAAGTTCGCCAACACGCATTAGGGCAGCGCGGCGGATACTTCCTTGCCCTAAAACCCTATCAGTAGTGAGAGGAGGCCTGTGCCCAGCAATGGGACGTATATAGGCTATAACTTTTTTTTTAACTTTAACTGAGTAATGAAAATTCGTTATCTCAGTGACTTGGAAGTGAACTGAGAATTAGTCTCAAGCAAAGCAGGTCAACTGATGGAAGACGAGGCAAGATTTATATAAAATCGTTTTATGAAATGTATATTATATTTTATTATTTTTATTTATTCATTAATTAATTACAGCCTATCAAATGTCCACTGTTAAAATAGTGCTTCTCCATAGATAACTTTTTAGCTATGATCAGGAAGGTCCTGCTGCCCATTTTCTGTTTCAGTTTCTCTCTGTCGCCTCTCTCTGTCGGGTTCTCTTACGTCGTCATTACACGGCATTTTACTATTGTATTAGATAAAATACGCTCGCCGTAAACTTCATAATACCAAGCAACCAAGGTTCGATATCCACCGGCACCACTGAAATTATTATTTGTATTTTTAGATGCTGATTTATCACATGCTCGACGGAGGAGGAAACATTGAAACCTACATGTCTACGAAATTAAATATTTAGAGAACAAAAACAAAAAGGCGCTTACACTTATCTCTATACAAGATTATTTTGCAATAACCGGCCAAATTTGCAGAAAAGGTTCAGAATAAGTAATATAAACAAACGGTGAAGAAAAATTTATAAAAAAAAACTTTATTTTAATAATGCATTACCACGCATTTTGAATTTAGAATTTTTATCTTTTAAATTCAAAATGCGTGGTAATGCATTAATTTAACTGTTTTTACTGCGCACGCTCACATTCGTAAGGTATATAATTATTTATATATTTGAACTTAAGTTTAAAATTTGGCTACTCTTTGAAAAATAACCCTGTATATAAAATCAATTGCTGTCTGTTAGTCTCGCTAAAACTAGAAAACGGCTGGACAAATATTAATAAAAAAAATTGTGTGTGTTTGAGTGGGTCCCTGGATGGTTTAGATTCAGAATTGGATCCAGCAGGAGGCGTTGTTGTCGAGATCAAGAAATCACCCGTGCGAGGCCGGGGCGTATCGCTAGTCTTAAATAAACATGTAATTCAAAATACAATAATTACTTTAAAAATGGGGCCGTGTAGTTGCCCACTGCCGCCATCAAGGATGCTCACGGTGACGTCGGCTTCTACTCCACCTTTGTCGTTGAGCAGCAATGAATATACAACCCTAAATATAATTAATTTTAAATAAGTAAATAAAAAAAAAATAACATAAAAAGAAAGGTTTTCGAGCAGCCTCGTATCGGTGCGTTAAGCGGTGTAGGGCGGTCCGATAAGACATGCAGGAAGTCGATGTATGCAGTTGTATCAAGACTAAAGGGCTTGCAGAACGGATACGATTCATTATTTTATAACCGGTTTTAAAAGAGTTTCGGAACCGGGATTCCCGGTCCTCTCCGGTTCTTAGGTTATTATTTAAAGTTGTTATTTTTCCTGATATAATCAAACGTTATTCTTGGCAAACTGTTTGCTAGTCGGTTAACTAGGAAGTTAGTTAGGAATTACCGTGTGTATGCCTTACTTAGACCGTGTTATTGGCATTATTTGGGGAAAGCCTATGTTCAGTAATGAATTTGTGAAAGGGTGAAGCAATGATGACGATAATGAATGGGCAAGCATGCGTCAATTTCTGGACGAGTAGTAATTACTCGTCCAGAAATTGACGCATGATCTACGGGCCATTTTTACAATGTCCCTTGTCCTTTCTCTCCCTTAATTATATTTACAATAAGAACACATACTTGTTTATTGTACTTGATTATCTCCGGTTTTTTACACTTACCATACGAAGCACAGCATCATTAAGCTGTTATTTCACGCTGGTATTCTGTCGTCCCTCACCGGTCCCATAATTACCCATACCAGTGATTAGTACAGAAAGTAGTACAGTAGTTATAGAAAGTCAGTAATAATTACCGGCTATGAGAGTTTCCATCTTAGTCCTCATGGGAGGCATACTATTGTAAATATTTAATATCCAATCAGGTGGACAACTATTAGCTCGTTTGTCACTTTAATGTTATATAATATAGCCATTATGCATAGTCTGTAAACATGCTAGTGGTGGGGATTAGGTGGAGGGAGGGCGGGGAGAGGGACACAAATCATCATAGATTTTTTACAGTACAAAGCTGCAGGTAACCTCTCTTAGGTCGGGAGCATCATCATGTATGGTATATAAATTTTTCTCACCTATCTTCTTTCTTTGTTAAGTCTGCTGTAAACGCCAAATCGGCTGTCCGCTGCGCATCCGGCCCCGTCAAGTAGAATTTCCCGTAATATGACATGTTGAACAAAGCAGCCGCGTTCCTGCAGGACAAGGCCTCCTTTCCAATCTAGAAATTACATTTTTAATTAAACTACATGGCAATAACACTGATAATAAGTACACTGATGACCATAGAATTTTTTAAGAACGCGTCGGACGGGTTATAATTTCTTAAGTTTTGCCTACGCTCATCTGTACAGGCCGGCAGGCCTATAGAATATATTTTAATTGTAATTGTTCCAATATTGTTCATTGTTTTTTACATACAGTGTAAATTCTTACACTATGTAAAAAAATCATTGTGCTCGATTAGATATGGTGTGAAGTATATTCATACTTTTCATACTTCACACCATATCTAACCAACATTTTTACGTTAGGTGATGCAAGAAAGTATTTACCCGTATGGTAGTGGCGTAAAAGAATCTATCACGTCATTGTCCCGTGGGTGTCTTAAAAGGTAACTAGGGGAAAGGTCCTGCTAAGGGTGGTGGTTATGGCGATCTTTCCTAACTACGGTGGAGCCCTATGTCTACCTCAGGACTCTTGTGGACTGATAAAATAACAAAGAATTATTATAGCAATAAAAAAATGAGAGAACGAATATTTCAAATACCTATTGCAGGTCAGAATACTCACAACAGAATGTCTGACAACGGGTACTCGTCGTAGTGTTTACAACTTTAAGTCTGCAAACGTTTGATATTCGACTTTAATACATAGACGATAAATACTATTTAACAAGAAGGCTGCTCAAATATTCATAGTATTATAGAACATAGATAGTGTGCCACCATTCATCGGAAGCCACGTGGTCTTATTGGCCTTTCCCATAGCGGCGCCTTACAATAACCACGGAACGCATTAGCGACAAATGACCTCGCACAGCTGAGTTTAAAGAGTAGACGTATAGAATAGTAGCTTAATGCTACGGGCCTTCCTCGATCGAAAGTAAAATGTTGTCCTAAAACTTAATGAATTTCTTACCAAATCATGATACTTTGAAAAGCCAAATGTGTAGTCGCCTTTTAAAACCTCTTCGTAACGTTGATCTAGGTTACGTGGATAGTCGTGTGTGCCGCCCCAGTCGTATTGCTGCACTCGAATCTGTAAATTTATAACATTAAATAAACACATTTTTACGTGTGTAACAAATGGGTCAGATGGACCGGGGGAGGAACACGCTCTCACAATACCAGCGTAAAATAGCAGCTTAACACTGCTGTGTTCCGTATGGTGAGCGTAGAGAACTGGATAACACTTTTACTGTAAACGAGGCATTCAATCTTAGTCCTTACAGGTAACAACGCATATATTTTGATTCGTAATTCCAGATCGACATCTACCACTTACCATAAGGTGGACTGTGTGCTCGTTTGCCACCTTTATCCTATAAAAAACACATTGATTAAAACAAGACTTTTTACAATATTTTTATACATACTACTAACTACTTCTATATCCCATGGTATGTCATAGGTTGCCACAAAGTACGGTCCTGAGTCACCTATATTCATCGACTACTTACCGTTACCGTTACCAGTCCACTGCTGAACATAGGCCTCCCCACGGATTGGGATCATAGGGGGGATATTTACTACACATGTTAATTGGCACGTTTGACAAGTGGGTTGTTAACCGGAGTTTTTTAAATTTTATTATTTTCAGTTGTTATTGAATGATGCTGTTGTTTATTTCCTCTGTCGCCTCTTACGACAATATTCTTTACTAGCTCACTATAGTCCACCGCTGGGCATGAACATCTCACATACCGGAGGTGGTATACTACCATTTATGAGTTCTAAGGTTCCTATAGGGGTTGCTTATTTAACTACGAAATGAAATAGGGTTCTTCATATAAAAAAAACATCAACTTATAATCCATACAGTTTCATTTATACAATTCAACGAAATCAAACCAATGAAATCACAGCAGATTTCTGAGTTAAGGCTGAGGGAAAGAAGATGTTGTTTAGTACTCACCTTCTCCCCAGGCATATAGAAACCGGGCCTCTCCCAGCCAGCTCTGGCCTGCATCACTGCCCCATCATCCACCAGCTCCTGGTGCAGTGCGTCGTGGCTCGCATCGCGGCCCGCGAGCGGCTCGTCGTTCGGAAACACTATGTTGTAGTTGCGCACATAGGACTCGTGGCTGCACTCGCGAACCCAATGCGGCCGGGACAACTGAGCCGGCGTGAATCGACGAACGTCGAATGTGAACATATTGTAGCTCGGTCTGATGACAAATTAGGATGATGTTGATCAATATTTTAACAACCAGAATGGAGCCATCAATAAAATACAGTATAATTAGAGGCTTTAAGTCGCTAAGGATGATAACTAAGATTTTTAACGTGGTAAAACCATGCTGCAGCTAAATTATTGTATATAATTATAGTATAGGACCACGCTTTCACAGAATACCAGCGTTAAATAGCAGCTCAATGCTGCTGTATTTCTTATGTTGAGTGTAGAGAAACGTAGACCATTTTGCTGGATAAGAGGCACTCCATCTTAGTACTCAGCGGCAACGCACCTGCGTTTTGATTTATAATGGAGGATATAGATATCTATGGGCCACAGCAACCACTTACAGTCAGGTAATCGCTTACCATCAAGTAGTAGAATTTGTGCTCGTTTGTCACCCATATTCTATAAAAAAGGGTGTTCTTGGCAAGTGTGGGCATTATTAGGTAAGGCATAGTGTCATTTCTTCGGGCGTTGGCTCACGAAGACCTAATCAAATGGTGTCTGATATACATATGTTATTGTAAGCATTATGTAATAAATAAAATAATTTCTTCGTCTTTCGTTATAACTGTAAAAGTTGTCAATGACAAGAGACGTCAAGAAAATCTTATGACATTCGTCAGATGACGGAATAACTATTTCTTCGAAACTTCCAGAGACCCGTGTAGTAGACTTTTTACGATCTTATGACGAGGACATTATTTTTTTACTGATTCAGTGATGGACCTGCAAAGTGATTGTATGCGTAATGACTCTAATTTAAAGTTTTTAGTTGTTCCTATATAAAAATACCAAGCAATATATACCAGATAAATACGTTTTTTTGGACAATCGGGTAAAAGGAACAGTGCAGTTGCGGTGGAGTCAAGTTCTGAGTGCACCTACCGCCGCTCGAATGCACCTCGCTCGCTCCTGGTATTATCAAGCATTTTATCCTAAGTAAAACATCTACCTCCTATGAGAACGGTACGCCCAATGTTGACTATTTGATGATAATTTGGATTACCTTCCTGTGATAATCCATTCCGCCATCTGTACACCGCAACCGGCTGAAAACATCATACCCGCAGAATTGTACCCGCAGTTGTGATAGAGACCTGAAAATAACATCCAACTGGGTGAGTATAACTTGTACATTTTCTTTGGAGTTTTTTTGGCAGATGTTTTTCCATCTATCCATCGCAGCCTTTAGTGTCCACTGCTGATCATAGGCCTCTCCCATAGATTGCCTCATAGAAGGAATTCTGCTATTCAGTTTCCCTCTGTCACCTCTTAGGACAGTAACAGACGTTTTTACGTTTAAACATTGTTTAATTATTATCTCCCTATTTTTTTAATGTATGATTGTGAAAGTTGGGTGTGGCAGAAAAAGCACGAGAGATAGAATAAATGCAGTAGAAATGCGGTCATTGAGGAGTATGTCAGAGCTGAATCTGAATGACAGGGTGAGAAATTGTGTGATCAGAGGAAAGTGTGGTTTGCAAAATGATTTTGTGACCAGGATTAAGAAAGGAATGCTTCGGTGGTGTGGTAATGTAGAAAGAATGAATGAGGAAAGAGTGACAAAGCAAATTTATGTTGCAGATTTGACCGTCAGAGTCGGAAAGGGACGCCCAGATAATGATAAACTGTTATTTAAAACTAATTTCTCAATTAACTGACATTGTGTAACAAAAAAACTTTACCTCAGTCACAGCTAGCGACATCTGGTGAGTGGAAGATTATTAGTCCTCATTATTATCAACGTCTAACTGAAATCTTTGGTACTATATTATTAAAAAAGCAAAGAACCCGACAGCAGTGATCTATAATAAACTATTTTTTTTGTCTTCTAAGTTGGGAGAACCTAAACAATTAAAACCTAACAATTGTATGGTGCAGATAGCTATCGAACCCGGGTTGCTCGCGTTTTGCGGCGAGCCCCTGACCTATGTACCACGATTCATATTATTTATAAAATATTTAAAAAAAAGTAAATATGCTACCCGACTCTAATCGAGATAAAGCTAGTAAAGAGACAAAACATAACTATATAATGACTACAACATTGTAAATTAGAAGGGATCTAAAATAGCAACATAATGCTACATACACAGTGTTTCGCATAATGAGTGACGAGAAACGGGGAGTCTTTACTTACCAAACACATTAGGATCTTCGCCTAACAAAGGTTTGTGGTCTGGTGTAAATGATTCCGGTCCACAGACTGTACTTCTAACGCCCACTGTACCTAATTTTGGACACAGGGTCGCAGCACTATTCATATGAACGCCGAAAACGTCCCAGTCTAAATCGTACAAATGGAACTGCAGATGATCAGGAACCTATAAAACAAATATAATTAACAACTCAGTTCTATATTTTTAATGACATGCTCAAGTGAATTTCATGTCAATTATAACTGCGAATTGTTACGAGCCAGGTGTTTACTAATATCATCATTTCATCCTTACATCCCTTAACACGTCCACTGGTGAACATAGGCCTTCCACAAGGAATGGCATAAAGCACGGTCCTGGGCCACCTGCATTCATCGATTTCCTGCTCAAGAACCTTTCTTCCCCGTCGGTTGTCGGTTTTTCGAGCTATATGGCCGGCCCATCCCACTTCAGCTTACTAATCCGTTGGGCTATGTCAGTTAGTCTGATTCTACTATGGATATCTCCATTTCTAAATTTATCAAGCAGAGAAAACCCCGAGCATAGCCCTCTCCATAGCTCGATGAGCGACCTCGAACTTCCCCATACGGTTTACTAATATATTACATACCAAAGAGTCAAATCACTACGTTTTGTTACATACCTACAATACGTAAGGGATTCCAGAATACTTTACAATACGCGCATTGTCATGTTATAACAATCACGATACAACGACAATCACTGAATATGACTCAAATATTTCATGGAGTACCGCAATAATGGCATCACACAGTTCATTGTCTTATTTAATTCACCTGCCTCTAATACTTTGGAAGTTATTTGAGACTATGGTATGAGGGGAACTTTTGTAGGTTGTCGATGTATCAAGAAATAGCAATAATAATATGCATTGTTTTAATTTTTTTTAATCATGTTACTCATTTTTATCCAATAAAATTCTGCCCTGTGATTATTAAGTATGAAAAATGAAATCAATTAAGAAACTTATTTTATGATTATATTAATAATAACAATAATTTTATTTTGGGGTGTTTATATGTATAGTTTTCTCATCTGGTTGGACTGTATAAATATACAAACAAAAATGATAAAAATACATAAATATCAATCAAATAAATAACTAAATAAAAACTCAATCTGATGGAAGCCCTCGGTAGGGGAGACCAAACGGTCGAGGGTGAGGGAGAAAGGAAGACAAACCGGCGGACGATGCTGGCAGTATCGAGGAGCACGGCCTTTTTTTTTGAGCCCGGAGCGGTCCGTCACGGAGTTCCAGTCGCCTCAGATGACCGAAGAGGCTGACTGGAATTAGCCCGTTCGCAGAAACCACTACAGGTATAATTTCGGTCGGCAGACCACCCCACATGTCGGTCACCTCGTGAGCCAGGTACAGATATTTTGTTCGCTTATCTGTTTCAGCTTTCACGAGGTTCTTGTCATACGGAATGGTAATGTCGATCAAAAATATCCTTGACTGTGCCTAGTCCATCAACACAATATGAGGCTTATTCGAAAGAATAGTCCTGTCTGTGATGATGACCCGGTCCCAATAGAGCACGGCGCGGTCATTTTCGAGGACGGATTCCGGCAAGTAGTTATAATAAGGTAGTTTCCGATTCACGAGGCCGTATTTCAAAGCGAGCTCCTGGCGTAGAATCCTGGCTACTAGGTTATGTCTGTGCAAATACTCAGAGTTAGAAGCCGAACAATCGGAGATGACATGCCTAAGTGACTAACCGGGATGGCGACAAGCTCGACAGATGTAGACAGCGCCATCCTTTAGGATGTATCTCCGATAGTTGTTGGTCTTAATAACCTGATCCTGTATCGCACGGACAACCCCCTCGGTTTACCAAAAGAGGTCACCGAAGTGTGCGACTGTGTCTACGAAAGGCTCATCTAGGCTAGAGCCTTGTAGAACCTCCCGTGGAGCTCCTTCTCCTTCCATACGGTCTCCCGGTCAGAAACGCTCTGTGATGCCGGGTCTTGCAACTGCTCTAGTTTTTTTATAGGGCGACAAACGAGCACACAGTCCACCTGATGGTAAGTGGTTGCTGTGACCCATAGACATCCACATATATTCTCAATAAAGAATCAAAATGCAGATGCGTTGTCACCCGTGAGGACTACGATGGAATGCCTCTTTTCCAGTAAAAAGGGTCTCCGGTTCTCTACACTCACCATACGAAACACAGCAGTGTTAAGCTGCTATTTTACGCTGGTATTCTGTGAGAGCGTGATCCTTCCCCGGTCGAGCCGACCCATTCGTGCTACAACTATACTACTAATATAGCTGCAGCATGGCTTTACCACGTAAAAAGAAAAGATTTATGATGGTTGGCTAAAGATAGAGGGGCAAGCTCTTTATCACAAGAAATGACGTGCCTATATAATGGATCATCCGATCTCGTCGGGAAGTAATTACGGAGGCTGCACACTTCGCATGGTAAGCGCACTTAAAAAGCCACGTCTACCATTTATTATTATATATCATCATATATTATCATATCATCCCGTGGGTGTCATAAGATGAGACAGAAAGGACCTGAAAGGAAATGGGCAGCAGCATATTTCTGAAAATAACTCAAAATAATAATAAAACTGCGGTTGCCAACCGCCTACTAAGAGTGGCAACAATGGCAAAATCTCCCCTACGAAGCAATCTACGGCCTATGTTCAGCAGTTGACTTTTATGGGCTGACACGAGTGGGTGGATTTATGCTTAAAGTATAAATTTATATATTTTATATATATTTATCTAATATTATTGAATCCGAACCAGACGAGAATACGATAATAATTAGGCTTCCTTGTCAATAAGCTATTCTCTAGAGTAGTTTAACAAGGAATGTAATCCACAATTTTCCACGTACTCGGTGGTGAAGGAAAACTTCGTGAGGAAACCTGTATGTCTGAGAAATTAAAAAAATAATAATAAAAATAATTAAATATTCGAAAATATGTGAAGTTCGCCAACACGCATTGGGGTAGCGCGGCGAACATTTCCTTGCCCTAATATGTAATACGCCTGTGCCCAGCTGTGGGTCGTATATAGGCTGTAACTTTCTTACATATAGTCATGATAAACACAGTGTCAAGATAAACGGTCATTGCTATAATTTTTGTGATCTTTTATAATATAGACGAGATAATATCTATACAAATAAATAAAATTGAAGTGTCTGTTTGTAATGTCAAAATTAAAGTTTATTACTAAATGCATATGAAAGTAAATACGGTACTTATAACTAAAATACAATTTTTAAAATTTTTGTCTGTCTGTCTGTCTGTTTGTTCCGGGTAATCTCCTAAACGGCTGAACCGATTTTGACGGGACTATCACTGCCAGATAGCTGATTTCCTAAGGAGTAACGTAGGCTACTTTTATTTTAGAAAAAGTATTAGGGTTCCGCGTAAAAACATAAAAACTAACACGCGAGCGAAGTCGCGGGGAACAGCTAGTTATTTAATATATTGTTATATATTTAATTGTTTTTATGTACGACGGAACACACAAAGTTTACTTGTCGAGAGAACATTTTTAAACAATCATTATCTTTTTTAACCTCTGAAGAAAACATAGGGGGAATTATATGTTTGTAGTGTGTATCTGTGTATCTTTGTGTCTGTGTATCCTGTGTCTGTGTGTGTCTGTCTGTTGCATCATAGGTCGTGAATGAATGAACCGATTTTGAATAATTTTTTTGTTTGAAAAGTGTCTTAACCGAGACTATTCTTGGCTATTTCTCAAGAATATCTGTCCAGCCGTTTAATGCTTTAATGATCAGCAGCTCTTCATGTTTGGAGTGTTATTATTATTTTTAATTTAGTTATCTATAAAAATCAATAGCATTAATTAAGTCACGTTTTTATGATCTGTACATAGATACACATATAAATAAAACTGAAATGTCTGGCTGGCTATTAAGCTCAGGGGGTTATTTGAATGCTATTAAGACATAAACATTAAACAACCATTTTTTTTTAATTTTCTCTGTCTCTCTGTCCGGGCTGATCTTCGGTATGGCGCAACAGATTATGATGAAACTTTACGAATACTTAGATAGAGAGCAATATCAGAAAGGATCTGGACTATACTTGATTCGAAAATCATAGTTGATTTTTTGTAAAAAAAAAAACTGAAATTTTATAAAATTAATGGTCTTTGATTATGTTTAATTTAAATAACGCCACATTAATAGATTCTAACAAGGCGAAGCTAATTTCGCTAATCCATACAAATAAATAAAATTGAAGTGTCTGTTTGACATGTCAAAATAACAATTTTTTACTAAATGCATATGAAAGTAGGTATATACGGTACTTATAACAAAAATACAAATTTTTTAAGTTTTTGTCTGTCTGTTTGTTCCGGCTAATCTCAGACACGGCCGAACCGATTTCGACGGGATTTTCATTGGCAGATAGCTGATGTTATAAGGAGTAACTTAGGCTACTTATATTTTAGAAAAAAGAGTTAGGGTTCCGCGCAACATAAGTAAAACCCTAAACTATACGCGGGCAAAGTCGCGAGGAACAGCTAGTTTAAAATATAAGTAGGTCTGACTTTCTGATATTTTAAGAGTTATCCTCAATAGCGACTGCATAAATTATTTGAATAAAATCTCACCTGGTCTAGCATATGAGGATTTCCCTCGTAACCGCCAACATGGCAAGACTCTCCTTGCACTTTGATATACAAATTAACATCGTGGTCTCTGATATTAGGGCCCCCGCGTATTTCAGGTGTAGCCTCGCAAACAACGTAAGCGTGTTTAAATGGCACGATAGGCAGGGAAGGGACACCAGCGAATCTGGCGACACGTGGGCCCCACGCTCCTAGAAATTACATACAAATTTTGTTACAAAAATTATTATATTACCAAAACAAATAAATAAAAATATTGCGTGTAATTATTTACCTCCACAGTTAACAACACATTTAGTTTTGATAACTCCTTTATCAGTGTGTACTGCCGTCACCTCTTTATTGCCTAGAAGATTATGCGCATAGTGTATATCTAGAACTGGACAATCTTCGTATACCTAGAAATTGTTTTTATAATAAGTTTTGTTGTAGATAAGAAAATGACACGTCATAACAACACTAACCTTTCCACCATTCTTAGTAGCAGCTTTTAAGAGAGCACTGCAAGCCATAGCCGGGTCGATTGTTCCATCTTGTGGCGAATACAACGCCATTTTGAAAACAGATGGATCTAGCAACGGAAATAATTTCTGCGCTTCATTAGGCTCCAGAACTTCGCTAGGAATTCCCATTGCTTTACCCAGTGTGTGTAATCTCATATATTCTTGTGTTCGTACCTACAACCATCAAAATTGATTAACCTATTCTTCACAGTAGTATCCGCCATTCATCTTGATTCTCAATCTACCTTACTGCGTGATATAAACATGCCTCCATTGTTTATCCATCCTGCGTAATCGCCGGTTTCTTTCTCTAAATTGCTGTAGACCGTCCGCGAATCCTGGAGTAATTTGACTTCTAAATCGCAAGGCCGAAGCGACCACACCAGACCTAAATTTTAAGTGAAGGGATTGACTTAAAGAGATTACAAATTTTTGTTCGTATGTAATTCGCTTCTATTCGCTCTTTGAAAATAATACAATCGCGAAGACATACTAAGATTTATGTAAGCAAAAGTAATAGGGAAGATTTATTACATATTTACAATAAATATTTTAGGTTGTACTTTACAAATTTTCTAATATACTTGCCTGCCGTATGCCATGTTGTACCGCTCGTTATTTTAGCCCTTTCCAATAAAACAGCATTAACACCACGTTTTGTCAATTGATATAAAGTATTACAGCCAGCTATACCTCCACCTGTATATAAAATTACTAGTTTATCCAAAATTTTTGTTGTATCTACCAGGGCGTCATAATCATGTTAACGACAAAACCCTTCGCTTTTTAACAAAAAATAATTAAGTATACACATATTGATGGCTTCAATAAAATCTTTATTTCGAGTCTTTATTTTTATTGTTATATCACAATAAACATATAATATGCTAATTTATATTTAAGCGAGGTGATTGCCCTAAATTATTACATGAAGCTCATTTTTTATGGTTAGACTGTAAATGGACACTTGGAAATAAGATTTTCTGAAGTTTTTAATAAAATTGAAGTGACAAACGAACTTACAATTCACCTAATGGTAAGTGGCTACTGCAAACCCATGAGACCAGCAAACCACTTGCAACCAACTTCTAAAAAATTGTGATCTCTATGGATTAAGATGAAGTATAGGATAAATGTACCTATTTATGATATTGACGAATTTTAACTGTAGAGTAGTCAGAATATTTATTTAAATAATGGTTGCAAAGAAATTTAATAGTTAATTTATTTTTTATTTGATTTTATTTTTGAACGTTTTTTTTAAAATTATGAGTTGGTTGTGACATTTGCCAGCTTTTTATTCGTTTTTGCTTATTATATAATGTAAATAATACATTATTGAACATTTGCGATGAATATAAATTGTTTAGTAGGTAGAATAGAATATAGATAAGAAAGGTACAATGACTGACTTGACACTGGCAGAATTCTATCAAGAGAAGCCATTTATTTAATTTTTTGTTTGATTGACTAAATTATTTATTTTGTTTAACTAAGTTAAGGCTTAGCGATATAGTAATAACATTGCTGTAATATACGTACACAATTTATTGTTAATGAATAAAGAGATTGATTGATTGGGTGATGGAATGTCTCACAACCTGTAAATATACTGGCTCTCTGTACCCTTCAGAACGGAAGACCACAGAGTGCATTATATATCGGAACACTGCAATGCACGCACAACTGATGGTACCTTCCCAGGCGGACTTCTAGCCACAAAAGGAGTGCTACCACCTAAGATACATTTTATGGTTCTTCCAAACTCTTATGATGACCACGCGCAAAAATGATTTTATAAAAATTACACAAAACTTACCTATAATAACAACATCTGCAGATGACACAAATTCTTTCTCCGTTGCAAACTTTCTAGTATTATTATATCTGTAGCCCCTAAAATACCTTGCAGCCGTACATTTAGTACAACTATCCCTTATGAGCTTGATCATATTAGAAATAAAAAATACTTAAGTGCCTTCTCTCGCTACAAATATTGGAATAACTGTTTGTTTTAATGAACACACACTAATGATAATTTCAATTCGATAAGAATGTGCTAAATAACACTAGACCTATCTTTACGTAGATGGTCTCAAGTCAAAGTTCAAATACGATTTATTTATCAAAACTTATTCATTATAAGCTTTGCCATCTTTTAATAATGTATGTTATTTCATGATGTAATAAAAATAAACAAATGATCATGGAAACGTTTATTTATATATTTACAGGTTATAATCTTTAATTAAACATTAATAATGTAAAGATTATTAAAAAATAAAACTGTTACAATACTACTAAACTTATACGTTAAATAAACACAAACTTAAGTAATTATTTAAAATATCAAACAATTTTTGGAATTTGTAAACAAAGAAACTTATGATAAATACTGCTAAATTTAAATACTTGTTTATTAAACATTATGATTTATACACACAGGTAATACACACGCCAAAATATGTAATCTAATGGACAATCTATGTAATATTGACAAATTTAGACATCTGCGTGGCCTAATGCTATGACTACTATACTATAGTGAGACCTGGGTTCGCATTCTAGCGGAGCCAACGTAGAGGATACAAGTTGGATGCGATGTCGCTCCATGACATACGATGCAAAAAGACAACGTGTAGCGACGCACTGTCATTAACATATTATGTGCAAAGATTTATGCACATGTATGCAAAACTGCGTATGAAATATCAATAATCGGTACATAATATTAATTAATGAAAATGATTTATTATTTACAAACTAAAAACTTATAGGTTCTTCAATTTTAATCTTTGCAAAGTGTTATATACGTAGATTTTTGTTGAGAATCTCTTATCGTCGCTTAGCTAACAACACCGCACAAGTCGATCTCCGGCGGTTATAAGATTTTGATATCATTGGATAGAACTTATTACCGCGCTTTTATAAACACAAACACTCACGCCTGTCACCCAGAGGGGTAGGCAGAGACTACGGACTTCCATTTGGCGCGATCCTGACACACCTCTCTCGCCTCCTTTACATCCATATATTTACGCATACACGCTCGTCGGTTAAGGGTACTCCTAATCTGGCCCATTTTCAATGTATCAGCGATTTGGTCGATAAACCTTCGTCTAAGGCGTCCCTTTCCGACCCTGCCACGCTTTTATCTAATAATAAAATAGTATAAAATTCAAATTTCAAACTATAAGAAGCCGATATTAAAAAAATATTCAACGTGCAAGTCATTTTGTATGACAATATCGCATAAGTTGTTGCTACCTAATAAAACTTTAAAAAAAACTCCAACAACACGCTTGTCGCACCTTGATTAGCTTCGATGAGGAATACTAAGTCGTAGTCCATTATTATACTGCAATGGGTTACTAAATACATCTGCAAAATTTCAGATTACTCAGAAGCCAGAAAGTGTACGAAAAAGTAAATTATAAAATTCCATAACATTAATACATAAATATTTCGAGATAATAATGGGGCGCGCTCAGCAGGATCAGGGCTAAGCGTTTTGTAAATTTCACATAACGCGAGCAACCTGGATGCGATCCCCGCCGGCACCGGTGAAATTTTGCCAATAAATTCTTTAGTCCTATTTGGTCTGGTTACTTATTGGTGCCATGTTTATGTGGGACTTATAACAAAAAAGAGTGTGCTAACTGTCTAGCGTCTGTCTTTCTATCCGATTATACTGTTAGTGGCTTTAAAGTAAGAGTGAGAAAATATGTAATTAAAATGTACGCTTGCAAATGCCAAACAATAATATTTACGCTGAATATCATTAATTTATTATAATATTATGTATATAAATGGTACATTGAAAGTGTAAGAACATATATTTTTGTGAACTTTGTAATTTTCTATGGCAAAAACGCAGACATCACAAAAAAATGTAATTTCAGATCATATGTCATAAAACTAAATTATAAATTTCCATTAATCTTATATTTTTTCAAAACAATTTTGTACAAATAGATATCACAACAATTTAAATACTCACATTATCGAAATAATCATAATAAATACTCGAAATGAAACTGATTTTCCGCTCTCTTGAAAATGATGGTAAATCTACTTACGCGGTAATGTTAGATTAAGCTACGATATGGCAAATTGACTTTGCAGACTAATAAACCGGTGGAGTTTATTCGAATTTTCAAGTTCCACGCGTTTAAATACTTATTAAAAGAACGAAACGCTGCGGGGCCGCAGGTCTGAATCCCAGACGGAACGAATGTTTGTATGAATTTCATATAGTTGTTTTTGATTTGATTGTTTGTGAATATTCTAGTGTGGAGTAAAGTTTGTTTTTTAATAAATAAATAAAAACTTCATTTTTATTTTCAACGTAATTTTCTACATTAAATCTTTTTTAAATAAAAATCAATTGCTATCCGTCAGTCTCGCTAAAACTCGATTGTACTTCGAGGATCGATTTTGATGGAATTTTTGTGTGTTTGAACTGGTCTCTGGATTGTTTAGATTTACATTTGAATCCGGTGGGTGGCACCGTTATCGAGATACAGAAATTACCCGTGCAAAGCCGGGGCGGATCGCTAGTTTTAAATATCAATTTAATAAATCTAAATCTTTAATATTTGCGCAAAATAGCGCTTAACTCTCTTAATAACCGGCATAACATACGATATAATATGTGGTGTGTGTGTGTGTGGGTAGTATTCAGACGTGGTGGGGGCTGGCGACGCGCGGCGGGGTGAGCGCCATGCGGTGGTGGCGCTGCGCGTACTCGCCGGCCGCGGCCGCCGCCGCCGCCTCCAGCTGCGCGCGCAGCGCCACCAGCTCGCGCGTGCGCTGGTATATCGGGTCCTGACCGAACACCACACACAAACTAAATTATACAAAATACATACACCTATCAACCGACGTGATCAGTATTAACTGCTCATTCATTAATCGTCACAACTATTTGAACATATAACTAATGCACTCAATTGTCTTTTTGTCAATTTTAATTATAATAAAAATTTTGCAAAATATCAAATCTATATACAATGTACACAGATAAAATATCAATGACTAATCCCAACTACCCCAAATTGAAATTGTATTCCATTTGTATTTTACTTTTGTCCCTTAAAGAAAAAAAATAAAACAAATGGTGAATATTGCTGATAACGAAGTTGGTATCGGCTCAGCCTAGCACTATAAGTATGCGCATATACTCCAAGTGATAGTAGTGATGATGGCATCACTCCTATCACTTGGATGGAATGCGCTAACTGGCATGGGCCAGTTAGCGCATTCTTGAAAAGGTAACCAGTATCCCTAATCACTTGGCAGAAGGACTTATGGCGACAGTATCAATAACAGACGATTTTCATTATTGATTCAGCTCCACGTTGCCAATCTGAGAAATCTACCCCAGTAAGGGCCACTATGTTAATTTTTCCTATCTTTAAGAAATAAGTAAGGTAATGGCCTATACTGCCTTACTTATAAAAATTGACATCAATTTAAGAATTAATTAAAATTGCTATTGCTTTCTCTCTCTTCTCTCTTTATCTCTCTTCACTAAATGACCAAAAAAACAGGTTAGAGATAATTAATACTGAATTAAGCGATAATCAACGATTATAATACGGCCGTTAGTAATATGTTTTGATGTCAATTTTAATTTAAACAATACTTATCGAAAATCTGTATAAATATGAGTATGAAGAATACAATCTTAGTCGTCAGAATAGAATCTACAGCTTCTTTGTTTGGAGTTTAATTATAAGTAAGAAATTTACTTATAAGTTTTCTAGCGATATAATTATTAGTATATTACATAAAAGAAATACAAATTAACATACCTGTTGTCGCATAGTGGGGTTCCATCTGCAATACAACGCCTTCCATAGTTTAATGATTCTCAGCGACGCAACTGGTACTAGAACTATTTGAGGACGCGAATATGGCGATGGGGGCGTGGTCGCTCCAAACGAAGACGGACCCCAATACAACGGATTAAGGTATAAATCCTGACGACTGTTGATGTACGACCATAACGACACAGTTTTTGATTTCACCTCTGTAAAGAAAATGGCAGTTACTAATTTTAATGTTAGACCATTGTAGGATTTATAGCCCATTGATAAATAGTTACGGATTTTAATTTTAATAAGTTAATAATGTTATATTCAATGATATATTTATATATTATGTAAACTTATTTGACATATTTTTAATAGCTGAACCCTAGTTCAAAAGAAAATAATCCAATCACCAATTCATTCATTTGGATGATTATGCTTGGTATTGCTGGCACATTAGCAACCGACGTTTGATCTAATTATTTTTCAAAATTTGATTGATTCTATTTTTAACACTGAGACTATATGATGATAGTTCTAATACCTATCAATAAATTTTTCCATACTATTACCAACTCGAATAAATGAAAATATAAAATAAAAAATAACATTTTTGCTACGAACTATCATGGTCATTAGTAGTATTTTTAATGCCCTAATGGATACAGCTTTTTCTTTTTTTTGTCTTACTGAATGTCATATGCCATATGACCACGCAGTAAGGTTAATGTTGATCGGCACGTAGTGGTTCAGCGTGCTGGCTGGCGGCGGCTGATATACAGTGAGAGTAATTTTAGTGTAGATACATATTCCTATTCGCTTTTATAATAATTTGTGGTAGGATTTCAAACAACAATGCTAATGCGAAGTGAATAAGTTAGTTTTTTTTTTATAGGATAGGGTGACAAACGAGCACACAGTCCACCTGATGGTAAGTGGTTGCTGTGACCCATAAACATCTACATTTATCCTCAATAAAGTATCAAAATGCAGATGCGTCGTCACCCGTGAGGACTAAGATGGAATGCCTCGATCCCAGTAAAATGGGTCTCCAGTTCTCTACACTCACCATACGAAACACAGCAGTGTTAAGCTGCTATTTTACGCTGGTATTCTGTGAGAGCGTGGTCCTTCTCCGGTCGAGCCTACCCATTCGTGCTACAACTATACTACTAATATAGCTGCAGCATGGCTCTACCACGTATAAAAATAGTGTCGGTATTTAAAATAGTACAATCGAACTCAATTACCTTCTTTGACCCTTTCTCGTTCAGTGTTAAAAAGGAAAGTACCGAACCGGCACGAATACAAGTGATCGACGATCGTTATAAGCAATCGCTCTGTGAACTCGAAAGCCGTGGGGAATTGTTGCTGCAGCTGCCAAACGCAGTCCACCCACTGAACGAACACAGGCGATCTGTCCGCATCCGAATGCCGCTCGTCGCCGTGCCCTATACGCTGTAAATAAAATAAAAACTTAAATAAAATCGTCAATTTTATTCATTAACAACTATTTTCTTTTAATATAAGTGTTTTTATTCACGTATTAGTATGATTTTAAAATAATCTAACGAATTTAATAACAGCAAGTAACGTGACTTTGTTAAGACGACAACCTATCTTGTTCCGCATTCAAGGTGTGCAATGAAAACACTTATTAAGAAGGCTTAACATGTTATTGATATAAAGTTAAGGATTTAAGTGGCGATGATGTTGACATGAAATTTTACGACGCACGTGTTAGATTTATAATTTAACACACGCTTGGCAAGGGGTCCGGCGATTGAGGTACCAAACTGCTTGTACCTTTGACTCTCCAACCCCGTCACGGTTCTGGGTATTTTACAACTGATATATATGAAATGAAAATGTTTCCCTTGGTCGTTTTAACGATGCACACGGCACCAGATTGAGTAGAAATAGAGCACATTACCACACGATCAAGTTGTATACATCAAAATTAAAATAAAACGAAAATAATTCAAAGCTACTTACAAGCTGGAATTTATGTCCAAATGACAACCACTCTTTTTCTATAAGCACTTCGAAGCCACGTAGTGTACGGTAATATGGGTCCAACATGAGCATAGCCAGCGCTGTCAGCTGTGCAGTGCGATCCCACCCATCAGAGCAGTGGACCAAGACTGAGGTTTTATGGTTCTCTACCTGGTAACAAGTAATTTCATTTATTGTTGCTATGAAGACTGTTTAGTCTATAGAGCCCCGAACTGGAAAAATCCGGGACTGGACAGGCAACACTATTAGTTAAAGGGTTTGCTGATGTACCACGTTGTTCTCGCCCGACAGTTTGATGAAGCTCTCGATCAGAAGTCCCTCTCGAATCTCTTTACTACTGGGGTCACTCATGATAGTCTTAAAGGTTAGGTACCCGCGGACTCGAGCAAGTACCGCCTCATTACGTGTCCACTCACTTATTCATCTATAAGATACCGACATCGATTTTAAGCGTGAGAATCATTTGACACTCATGTAAAATAGGTCATGTTGCGGCAGCGGTCGTAGGACCGATGAACCACTCCTCGTTGATTAAGACATAGCCTGAATAGACTTCAGAAAGGCATTCTGATTTGCTTATGTGGATGTAACATTAGTGCCAAAAACACAAATTATTAGCGTTCCGATCTTAATGTGTTGTCAATATTTCGTGTAACTGCATTAAAGCTTACAATGTTACACTAATTTTACCATGTAAATCTTACGTTGGATACGAATAGTTTTGATCGCTTGCTGTTTGCGTGCGGACTATGAACAACGAATGACATTTCGTTCGTGAGTTAACATAGTTTATATGTTAAAAATAATAAACAATAATGTTAAACATCTACATATATAAATGAAAATGTAAATGTTCGTTTGTTCAAAATCTTAAATCTCCGAAAGATTTTCTATGATTGCTTTGTATTTTGACACAAGTTGCATTCAAATACTCGCGTGTTTTTTATATTTAAAAAAGCGCCATATGTTTAACGTAAGTAAAGTAACAATTTGTTTCCTATTTAACCAGATTGAGCCACAATATCACGTAACCGGGTACAAATAGTTAGTAAAAAATAATTGTGTTTTTGTAAAGATACTATTTCAGATATATCTCAACAAGGGTTTTTCATACTGTACTTAGCTGTTATTTAATACGCACTCACATAACTGACTTCTTAATGGTTAAACACGACCAAGTAATCTAGAGAAAAGTAGAAAACAATGCATTTTGGTTAGTAGTTTTGGTGCGAATGGTGGGAGACTGAAATGCTTTACACTCCGTTTTCACAGACCACTAAAATGTTTGACTCGTTAAATTTAAATTATAAATATAAGCAACAATGTATGTAATGCACGAGGCTCACCTTATCAACGATACGTACAGCTCCAGCTAATATACACTTTATATGCTTCAGCCAACAACTAGCCTCTATGCCACTAAACCACCTGAAAAATATAAAATAAACTATAGCTTTCAGTTTCACTATTTTAGTTTCTATTTAACTTGGTATAGTCACACTACAATACTATATTACGGGAGTAAAATAAATTAGTCATCTCAACCGAGGAAAGGTCACACTTACAGCATAACGCTGCTATGTTTCTTGTGGCTAGTAAATCTGGAATCTGTTCATCGCGTCTTCACTAGCATAGAGTGTAGAGCAAGAGAGCATAGCAGGCTCAATTTCAATTACTTGACAACGGACATTTTTTAGTTCAAATATATCCCTCAGAGTATTTATTTATGTTAACTTCGCTTCACACACACTTCACAAAGCGATTTACAATTTTTGATGACAACAGCTTACAAGTGATCCATAGTGACTTTTGCAGCATGGGAAGTTGCTCCATCCTGCTAAAACTCAAGTCCGTGAGTTGCACGCTGCAGATGTTTTCGATGCCGAGGTATAAAAAACTGGATATCACTGACCAATATAATTTTTTTTTATTTATTAAACGTTAGCCCCACACTAAGATTTTCTCCTGTATCGCAGAGGCAGTTTACAAACACAAGTTGTACAAGGACAAACATCCAGACCCGGAACAATTATTTGTAGGCCATAAAAATACTTGCTCCGTGCGAGATACGAACCCGCGGCCCCCAGCGCAGCAACTCATTGCTAAGCCACTGCGCCACGGAGCCGTCTATAATACTAATATATATTTTTATTCAGACTTAGCCCATAGAGATGTTAGTATGACAATATATTCTTATCAACTAGAATCTTGAGAGGCACATCGATAGCGTACGCACGATGTGCGCCCGACTACTGTTACTTTGTGATTGGCAAATCCGCACGAAAGATCAATCTACTTCGCCGCTACCGCCGAGGTCAATTCAAACGTTTTACTAAATATTCAGCTTTCGAATACTGAATCACCTCGAGACATTCGGTACAAGTGAGCGAAACACTAAAATGGTTTTTAAAACTATTTATAATAAAATTTATCTTGATCTTACCTGGTCTGGTCAATCTGTGGAAAGCAAAGTTCTTTGAGCTTACGCAGACTTTCCCTCATCACATGAATGTTGTGAATGTCCAAGAAAACCAATTCAGCATTTTGATAAGCATCTTCTGATTCATAACTACAAATTATATAATATAAAATTTTAATGACATACGCGACGTAGTATGATTGAATATTAGAATTCTAAAAAAACTGAATATTTACAACCAGAGGTTGAGTTTTGCCCGGTTTCCATTACAATTTGTTAAATCATGTAGTAAAGTAAAAATTGTTCCTGTGGTATACTAATGGTTCATTTTTCATACAATCGTGAGTGACAAACGAACTGATGGTAAACGGCTACTGCAGCCCAAGGACACCTGTAGCTAACTTGAAAGAAAGAAGGCTACGCATGTGTCACCTCTGCGAACCGAGACGGAATGCCTATAATTGCACTGCCCTTCTTTACGTCTCAAACCGGCATACACCAGTGCACTGCAGAAATAGAAAAGAGTCTAACCACCTAGTAACCGTCGCCTTAAGAAGGCCTAAAGTTGTTTTAAATTGTCGAAGTTTTCGAATGAATTGTTTTAATATTTATCTTTTGACAATTGATTGTAGTGGATTTATTTTTAAATAAATATAGAATCCACGGCAAATATTTATCATGATTATTGTTTTTTTAGAAGACTGCCAACATTTTAGAGTTTTTCTAAGATAGGAACTTAACTTTAGGTTATCTTTAGAGAGCATTTTGCATAATCTAGACACTAGACGCCGCGTATTTTCAACGATGCTTTATTAAAGTGATGGTTTAGTACATGGATAGACTACATTATTTTCATATTAGCTGTACCCCTCGACTTAGTCCGCGTGGAATTTATTACAGTTGGATTTCATCGGTTTTAATGTTTTGAACGGAACCCTATTTCTTTAAAATAAAAGTTGCCCAAGTTTCTCCTTATACATCAGCTACCTGTCAAAATCGGTCCAGCCATTTCAGGGATTAGCCGGAACAATCAGACAGACAAACAGACATACAAACATTTTAATATACTTTCATATGCATTTTGTAAATAGCTGTTATTTTGACATTACAAACAAACTTCAATTTTATTTATTTGTTAAGATTATAACTATTAAACTCCGCCATTGCTGGTCCCAAGCCCGGATGAGAAAGTAGAAGGGTTGGTTCCGCCGGAGAGAGTGGGTGTATCCGGTGGACCAACACACCCACCTGCGCTAGAACCTATGCAGTCGAGCGCCGTACGCGGGGATGAATGAGTCCTGAAGGGTTGAGCCGATCGTCACTGGGGTATATAGTGGTGAGAGGCAACACGCCCTCTTTGGTCCGGATTTCAAGGCAAACGGTGGCCCTATCTGCTAGCCACAGACGGAAATGGCCAAGCGCCCCATCAGAGGTTCGCAGGCGAGGGACGTGGGGGCTGTCTAGTTTTCCTGAAAAAGGGCTAGGTGGTGGGTAGTAAAGGTCATGCTGACGGAGCAAGTGACAGTTTATTTGCGTAGTGGGAATGACCCTTTTCAGCCCTATCTAACAGCTGGATCGAGCTCCTGATGTTGCGCTGTGAGCCAACTTCGCGTCTCTATATTCCCCCGGTAATCCTAACGCTTGAAATTCTTTTTAAACGTAAGGCGTTTTCAAAGGTGCGGGCTCCATGGAGGATGGGAAGCCGGGGGGACGAATTTTAAACACAAAATTAATAAAGACAATTTAAGGCCCAGTAAGAAAGAGGGAGAGGTGTCAGAGGTGCTTACCAGAGACACCAATGAACAATGGGGAACCGCCATTAAACCGACGGTTCAACGGACTGTACCATCCAGCGTAGGTGGCCCCACCAAGGGGACCACTTCAGCGGTAGACGTTCCCAAAACCAGTTCCAAACCTGAGGAGCTGGACGCGAAAAAGGGGCAAGGGCCCGCGAGTAACAAAACTCCTGCGGAGCCCCAAAGAACGGACGACCTTTTCTCTGCTGCCTGGCAAGTGGTGAGCCGTAAGGAGAAAGGCAAGGCACCCAAAAAGGTGACTTGCCGACCTGACGGACGATCAGGAGGGTCTATCCCTGCAGGCAGTAGTGTAAACGCCAAAAAGAATAAAAAGGCCGAAGAGAAAGAGCCGCGCTGGCTGCTTCTAAAATCAAAACCAAGGAGGCTGGGCAAGCTACTGCGACTGAGGTGCTTGGGGCTGGAACAAGTAGCCGCGCTAAAACTGAAAAGGATAAAAATCCAACCCAAGTGGAAGTGGCGGCCGCGGGGACCAGCTCTAAGATATCCGCCAGGAAGCAGCGAGCGGCCAAGCGTCCTAGGAGGAAGGAAAGAGCAACCAAAAGGATGCTGGAAGAGTCTACCTCGCCGAGAGGCGAGCATAAAAAGTGTGACTCGAACAGCAACCAAAGGTTGCAAGAACCAGCTACGTTTCCGCTGCTAAAGCAGATTTGGGTGTGGCCTTAACGTGTGCGCGTTCAGGTCACTTAATGAAGGAAGTAGCTGACGACATCCTCGTGGCAATACAGAAGAAGATTATCAGCGAGGCCTAGAGTAGCCGGGACCCTGATGCGCCGGGCACAGTTTTTAGAGGCAAACCCCTTTACACGGAGGGTGTCCTGAGGCTATGATGCGACGATCAGAGGGCTCTGGACTGGTTGAAGGGGAATATTGCTACCCTCGACCTGAAATGCAATACCTCGCTGATCATAAAGAAACAGTCGGAGATACCACAAATAGTCAAGTGGTATCCTTATCAGATTTTTTTTTATAGGATCGGGTGACAAACGAGCACGCAGTCCACCTGATGGTAAGTGGTTACTGCGACCCATAGACATCTACATCTATCCTCAATAAAGACTCAAGATGCAGATGCGTTGTCAACCGTGAGGCTAAGATGGAATGCCTCTTTGCCAGTAAAAAGGGTCTCCGGTTCTCTACACTCACCATACAAAACACAGCAGCGTTAAGCTGCTATTTTACGCTGGTTTTCTGTGAGATGTCCAGGGAACCTGGAAAGACTCACGCGACATTGGTCGTGGGCTGACGTACCAGAATCGCTGGGTAAACATCAGGGACTGGCTGCTACTCAAGGAAGATAAGCAGACGGACGGGTGGTTCCTCGTTGTTTCGGTGCCGAAGGATCATATCCCGACCCCGATGAAAGCCGAACGCCGTCTTGCATGTGTATGTGGGGGTATACGTAAAATTCCAGGGTCGTGGAGCTAAATTCTTTGATACTTCACCAAGCAGAGGCAGATAACAACCCGGAAATCATGGATACCGGGGCCATGGTTACCGGTACAGCAGAATTCATCAGCCAAGTAAAGTGAAAAACGGCCTACACAACTGAGCCGAAGCCCCCAGTAAGATCGGGCTCAGCGGCAGCTGATTGGAGGCTCAAAGGACGGCCACAGCCTAAATCCAGGAGCCGTGGGTAAGCGGCTGGTAAAATCAAAGGCCTAAACAGCCTAAAAAGTAAGCTACTCTATAGCTTTGAACACGACAAGCCTAGAGCGTGTATTTACACTACTAAAGATATCTGTGCACAACCATTAACAGATTTGTTTTTTTTTATAGGATAGATCACGGCTGCGGCTCACCTGATGGTAAGTGACTACCACCGCCCATGAACAACTGCAACACCAGGGGAATTACAGATGCGTTGCCGGCCTTTTAAAAATAAGTAGGCTCTTTTCTTGAAGATCCATAAGTTGTACCGGTCTGGAAAAATCGCTGGTGGTAATCAATTCCACAGGAAAGGGACCGTTCAAGTATTACGTAACGCAATTTTTGAAGATTTTTGACCCTCCCACCCCCCTATGTAACGCGCCGTAACGTTTATCTAGACCCCCCCTCCCCCTCTCTAAACGTTACGTAACACCCAAGTGACCATTTTTACCTAAAAGTCACAATTTTTTTGCGCAAATTACCGGAAAGTCGCTAAAATAAGTTTGTTATTGTTTTAATCGCGTTTGCGGTAATCTATAATATAAAAATGAATCGCTTAATGTGTTGCTAAGCGCAAATCTCGAGAGCAGCTGGACCGATTTCACTAATTCTTTTTTTATAATATTCCCTGAAGTACTAAGATGGTTCTTACGGAGAGAAAAGTTTATAAAATTGCCTGAAAAAGTATAAAAACAACACTTTTCTATATTCCCAAACAAAAGATTCGTAACAATACTTAAAAGGCAATTTGAACTTTAATACCATACCAATAAAGTTTAAGTGTTAGTGGAGGGATTCCGGGAAGGCAAAACAATTGAGTGACGTTGTTATCGTATAAATATAATATTGTATCGTATCGTATAAATATTTGTCAATATTTCTACATGGTAACATTGCGGTACGAAGTTCGACGGGTCAGCTAGTAATAAATAAAAAGAGATTTCTTCATTGTTGATTGTTTATTTTATTTATTCATATTGTTATTTAATAAACAATCACACAATGTAATAAACGTTTGCTTAAGTTTAAAATATGTTAAAATGGGCTCAAATCAGTCCTAATAAACTTTTACTACTAACCTTACATTTAATTACGCCGTTTTTTTAACTTGGCCTTTTCCTTACATACATTTTATTAAATAAACTCTTAAAATAAAATAACATATTTATTTTTACCTTTGGCAATGCAATGTAAAAAACAAACAAAAACTTGTGTCTGAAGTCGAGTCTTTGCTGAACAAAGTCTCGGATTGGGGGCGACTAAATCTAGTCCAGTTCATTCCCCAAAAGACACAAGTTTGCGCGTTTACCCTAAAAAGAACCCCTTTGTCGTATCTCCTCAGTTTCAAGACACTCCCCTTGCTACCTCAGCTAGCATCGGAATCCTCGGCGTCAATCTAAACGAAAAGGATTGCTAACTTGGGAGATTTTAATTCCCTTGTTTTTTTATTTAAAATGAACAAATGTTACGTAACGCGTTGGTCGAACCCCTCTCCCGCCCCTGTAACGCATCGTAACGTTTTACAAGCCCCCCCTCCCCCCAAATTGCGTTACGTAATACTTGAACGCCCCCAAAGTTGTGCGAGGAAGAAAACATCTTCTAAATCGCACAGTGGTGGACCGCCAATCATCCAGAGGGTATGGATGGTATCGCGAGTTTTGTCGCGATGTGCGATGGTGAAGACATGTATGCCGTGGCAATACCAATATACACAGGAGGAAAGACTAGTCGTCGCCTCGGTCTACATGCCGTAGGAAGACACTCCTGCCCCTCATGACCTCGTCAGGCTGGTGAATTTCTGCGAGAGGACCGGACTAGAGATTGTGATCGGGACGGACTCCAACGCGCATCATCCCCTCTGTGTAATGCAAAAACCGAATGAACGAGGTAAGATGTTAGTTGAATATCTATTTAGCACTAACCTAACCCTTTTAAACACAGGTTCTGAACCAACTTTCATAAACGTCCGACGATCGCACAATAAACGATCTCACACTTGCAACAGAATGAGCAGCCAAACTAAATACGGGATAGCATATGTTGAAAGAGGCGTCAATGCTCAGACCATAGATGGATCTGCTTCGTACTACAGGTCGATACCCCAGCTACACCACCATGGAGAAATCCCCGCAAGACGGATAAAACAAAATACCTTAATAGGCTGGCGTCTTCGCTCGCAGATTTTGAGGGAACAAATATTATAGCAGATCAGTCGCTCCTAGAAGAACAGGTAGCAGCTGTTACTAAAGGCATGATGGATAGCTACCATGAATCATGTCCAGAAATCACTCCACCAAGGCATGCTGAGGTAAAGCAACGTTTTGTATCTAGTTCTTTACCCCACGTAAAGAACTAGATACAAAACGTAAGAAGGTAAGAAAAGCCCTAAATAGGGCCATGAATACCTCAATGGATGAAGACTGGCTACTATACAAGAAAGCTAAGTCCGAATATAAAAAATGTATCAGGTATCGACGCTCGACAGGGTGGTGCAAATTCTGTGTTAACATAGAAACCTGCAAACAAGCGAATAGGATAAGGAATATCCTAGCTAAACAGAATACGCCGGAATCCATCTCTCTAAAGAAACACGACGGAAGCTACTCAACATCACTGGATGTAGTCCAACGCATCCTAATTGAAACACACTTCCCAGGTTGCTGCGTAACTCAGGAGGTAATCCGGCATGGAGATACACTGGCACCAACAGCAGTATACTGGAATTTAGCACAGAGAGTGGTAACAATCAATAAAAGCCATTGTGGCCATTCACAGTTTTCTCCCCTATAAGGCGGCAGGACCTGACGGCATATTCTCGGCACTCCTACATTTAAGCCCTAATAGACAGACTTGTTGCCATAATGAAAGCCTGTCTGGCTCTTAAATATATTCCTAGGGGATGGAGGGAAGTAAAAATCACATTCATACCCAAACCAGGTAAGAGCGACTATACAGACCCTAAATCCTACAGACCCATTAGCCTCACTTCCTTTCTCCTAAAGACGATGGAGAGGATGTGTGAAAGGGAATTAAGGGGGTCGGCGCTAATGAACAGCTACAGTACAGGCAACACGCCTACAGACTAGGTAAATCGACAGAATCGGCACTTCACCAGGTAATAACAAAGGTTGAAGAGGCCATCCAAAACAAAGAAATACTTGTCTACTAATAATAATACTTATATCCTTCATAGATATGGAGGTGCTTTTGACAGAACGAACTTCTCCAGCATAAAAGGTGCACTCAGTAAGTATAAAGTTGAACCGAAACTGATTGACTAGATAGTAAACATGCTCAGTACACGAACAATAAAGATTTCTGGTGAATCTCAAAAAATCCAGATTAAGAAAGGCTGCCCGCAGGGTGGGCTCTTTCACCTGTCCTGTGGAATATGGTCATTAATGAACTAATCAGCAAATTAAATGCCAATCACGTCTACACAGTAGGTTATGCTGATTACAATACTGGTCTCTGGAAAGACGGCAAACATGGTGTGCGACCTGACCCAAGCGGCTCTCCGTATAGTGGAGAGATCACCGAAGTTGCACGCAACATCAAAGGACTGTTGAACTTCTTCGGGGAGATCTCATGGCTTGAATAAGTACATTATTCCTGCCCACACGCAAATACGCGCTTAGACGTGTAGTTGCGGATAATAACCCTTCGTAAACTAAACTAACTATTAAACTATGCATGATAATTATGTCATTTCCTGTCATTCGGTTGGTGCAATGAGAGCAGACTATAGAAATAGGCAGAAAGATCTTATAATCGCTGACAGATAGATATATCACTTATACTTCAAAAGTAAAAAATCTAGACCAGTAACGGGGAGCATTGTCAAAGGTGCCAGATGTCTAGTATTGCGATTGTCAATCCGTTGGGCCAAATTTCAGTTAATGCAAACCCTTCCTACAACCGGCTAGACCCCTATTCTGCAGCTTTTACGGACTGACAAAGAAGAAAATTTCTAGATTTTATATGTTGAACAGTTGACAGCCTCTGGTTGAAAATATCAATCTTCAGAACATGAGACATACCCGCCTCCCTTAGCCTTGTTTGCAATAGCATTAGCGCTGGGGCGTGCATCCATTATAAACAGTTTATGTGCTTGGGCGTTAGCATCCATTATTAGTTGTATATAACGTTCATCTTCACGACTACGTTTACCGCTCACCTGTAAGGTATAAAAATATAACAATAAATAATTGTGTATCTTACATCATTGTTAATAAATACTACATCATATTAATTTGAATTAAATATTAAGTTAAATTAGATTTTTGGTAGAATTATTTGACTATAAAAACTATGGCATCATCACATTATATTCTTATACAACTTCTATAGAAATGTTGGTTTTGACAACTTTAAAAAAATAATATTATTAGTTTGAGTAATGGGAGTCTGTTTCTCCTTCATGTGGCTAAACATGACAAAAGACATAAGACATGTGTGTGGCATAAGAGGTATTAGCCCACCGATGGTAAGTGGCTGCATCCTGCAGTCCTATAGATAATGGCACGCAACTTGAAACAATAACTTGTAGTTAAAACCTATTTGTAGCTTGAATCATATCATGTTTCCAAATGATCAATTATACCAAAATACTCACGCCGACTAAAGGCTGGCTGCATCTTGTAATAGTAGCCTGTGAGCTGGGATGTATCCAAGCGAGCACTGGTATGCGACCTCTTGAGCGAAACGCAGCTACAGATCTAAGTAAGTCATCATTAGCAGCTGCTGGCACTGCCCAAACAGATGGGTAACTGTCGCAAATTTCATATTTATCGTTGATCCGAGTTATACGCCACATGTCGTTGTTTACACCCTGTAAATGTTAAATTTAAATTTATATACACTTACTAAACAAATTGAAGCAATGTAGAACTAACAAAATCTATATATTTATTTTAATAAATTACCATTTGTAAGTAATTAAATAACTGTAACAATTATTAGGACATAAAAGAATTAAAATTAAAATTAGTTAGAATTTAAACTTAAAACAGCCTGACCAGGAAAATAAAATGATTCACCTAATTGTGGATATTCACAAAACTTATTTTATTTACTGCCAGTATTATAACAATGCTTTATCAATAATTGGCTTTCAAGTATCAAAGTTTTGTTCTTATACCCATAATATGTTCAAAATTAAGTAAAATACCAGATTAAAGTGAAAGAAAAATGTTATACAACATTGAATGTTATCCGACAAACTTTGGATAATGTAAATATCCAAAGGATTTGATTATATGTGACTTGTTTTAAATGGCAGGTTTTAAAACATTACAAGTTATATGTTTCTAAGTATAAGTGTAGATTTATAATCAAAATAACTTATAAGAGTAATTTTGCTTACCATTCTTCGGAGTTCTGTAATTGGTTCATAGACATGCCAGCCATCCTCCGGGAAGCTTTCAGAGTAACTGAATGCAAACAATGGTAATCTGTGTGACAGTGGAAACGCCAGTTGCTGCAGTTTCTCAAATATACCACGCCGTGAATGATTCTCTTGTTTATGTGCAAAGCGTAGATTGCGCATATCCTAAAAATAAACCTTTTGTAATAGGGCAAAATTTTAAATCATTTTTCCTTTTATAAAATCAAAAAGTGTTTTAAATGAATAAAATTTATTATGAAAATATTATTATGGCAATTTAAGATTATAAGATGCATAACAAGTAAAAAATAAGATAATTTGTAAATATTTTTTTACACTATAAGTGGCTATATTAATTCCACACATATATAATATATAATACCATACTGCAACTATATTAATAGTATAGATGTAGCACGAATGGGTCGGTTCGACCGGAGAAGGACTACGCTCTCAAAGAATACCAGCGTAAAATAGCAGCTTAATGCTGCTGTGTTTCGTATGCTAAGTGTGGAGAACCGGAGACCACTTTTACTGGAAACAAGGCATTCCATCTTAGTCTTCACTGGTGACAACGCATCTGCATTTGAACAGCTCACATGAATGACAGTTAGCAAAGTTGACATCTTCAATTTAGTAATTCTTTACGTTGACACTCTGATCTCACTTACGTTGTTTTGTAGTAATTGGGTTCTTAAAGGTGAGTGTCTTCATGTTTGCACAATAACTTGTACAACTATAATATGGTGCGAGGTGCAAGTAAATAACACAAGTACAAGTAAATAACAATTTCAGTGATAATAATTATGTGAATAAATGAATACTAAAGAAGTATAAGCCTTGTTGATTTTATTATATTCTTTATTGTATTGCTGTTATGGTGAGTGGTACAATAGCCTCTTCCAGTGTCAAACCAATTATCTCATCACTAAGGTACCCAGAGTAATCTGGACATATCTCTAACTAATTCACTATCAACACACTAATAAGATATAGCCCAAACAAAATATATGAGAAAAAAATAAGTTGTCTAGCTCTTCTCCACTAAGTTCAAGTACACCTTAATATATTGTTTCAGGACACTACCACAAAATAAATAATAGTACTACGTACAAAAGTTGCTCTACTTTGATGTTGACAACTTCCCGCTATTTTAATAACCTATTTAACTATCATTAATTAGAGAAATCACGCACACAAGTTAAATTAAACTTTATTGCTGCATGCGATTGTCCATATGGCTATGCATCTTTTCCCTTACCTACGTCACGGACAATATTCCGTAGTCACCTAGGGCTTTCAAGAAACAGTAAAAATACAGTGTGTATAGTACCTTTTGATTATTATTTGTTTAATTTACAACTGTTTGACTTTAATATATTGTCTTATTTTTTTCAGTCTCTAAAATAACGATTATTAAATTAAGGAGATTTCAAGAAACTCTTTAAATCTGACGTATAATTTAATTAAATACTGAGAGGTGAAACATGGACATGGAGTGATAAAATTAATATTCGTAATTATTTCACTAAATTGTTTGCTGGTTTTTCATTATTATGTTTTCAAAATTGTTAATTAATGTATTTTAAATGATATATGTATACACGTGCATATAAAGTACACTAAAACTTATTATGTACAGCTATTTTAACATATGACTAAATATACTAAACAAAAAAAATATTTATACAAGAATTTACAAAAACTCTATTTAAGTAAACAGTGTTAAAAACTTTGCAATTCATTAGTATATCTCTTGTCTAAAATGCGCTAGTCCTGACTGCGTATGTAACCTGAGGTTCCGCCCGATTGCAGGTATATAAGTTGCGCAGGTAGCTAGAGTGAGTGAGGTCTGGTACTACTTCCAGAAAAATTATTACCTTGCAAAACACTTCAATGCCATATGAATTTTCACCCTTTGATGATGCACCGCCCACTTTTTCAATTCGTGATACCTTTAAAAGAAAAAAATCTAAGTGGAATCATATTAAAATACCACAAAATTTATTAACAACATTTATTACAGACACTTTAAAATTAGAATGAAATTTTTTTTATAGGATAAGGGCGACAAACGAGCACACAGCTGAAGGTAAGTGGTTGCTGTGGCCCATAGACATCTACATCTATCTTCGATTACGAATCAAAATGCAGATGCGTTGTCACCCGTGAGGACTAAGATGGAATGCCTCGTTTCCAGTAAAAAGGGGTCTCCAGTTCTCTACACTTACCATACGAAACACAGCAGCGTTAGGCTGCTATTTTACGTTGGTATTCTCTGAGAGTGTGGTCCCTCCCCTGTCGAGCCAACCCATTCATGGTACAGCTATACCAGTAATATAGCTGCAGCATGGCTCTACCACTTACAAATCTGTAAATCATCTCAATTTTTCTACAACTTTTAGTAGTTGTTATTTGAATACATGTAAATATTAATGTTTAAATATTCAGTAAATATGTTGGCAGGATGTTATTAAGCACAATAAAAATGTAATAATGCACTCTGCATTGGAAAATTTGAATATATATTATTTCCAATGCACTCTCTCTAAGACAAACATAACAGTCAAATATTAACTTATTGCATATATTTAAATGAATCTAGTTTTTACAGATTTTATCACATAATATCCATATTAACTTATTTTATGTTCTCAACGTTTCAAATACTTTACAGAACCCAAAGTCACTGAGGAGCTGAGATATTCAATGTCTAAATGTTATAGTTATCTGCTGCTACCTACATTCTAAAATTATTAATTTTTGGTCAGATCTATGCAGAATGAGCCTATAGTATCTTGAAGTCTTTCAGTTGTTAGCTTGGGTTGGGGTTTAGTTTTATTAATTATAGCATACGAAGCAGATGATAGCACCCAGCCATCTTCTCTATTGAAATTAGGATGTTTTTTAATTTTAATAGCCTCGCAAATCATCCGTGACTGGGTGCTGTAAAGTACTCGAAATGTCAGGAATATAAAATAAGTTAATATATGAAATCAAATCCATAAGAATGAGTTTCATCTAAATGTATAGTGTTTGCATAAACATGAGAAATTCATTGTTGCATATACAGTAGAATCCGTTTATTATGACTCCGCTTATATTGACCAACCGCTTATTATGACGTAATTACACAGTGAAATTTGGTTTTCATATAAAATTCTTTATAATAAAGTCGGATATAATGACTTCGCTTATAGTGACATGTGGCTTATTGTGACCCATTTTTACTAAATTGTGTACGGTTACAGTGACCGACATGATTCATAACACCTTCGGCAGTGTTCAGGAGAGTCAATTGATACCCGACGACATTCGGCGCGTGCATGGCTTTTTTTTTGTTTTGAGTCTCAGTGGGTAATTGATTGTTGAAGGTCGCGGCATTGTTTGTTAGTTATTTGTGAAAAAAATTAAATCTCAACGTCAGTTTAGAAAATGGAGAATCTAACTCATCTCTCGCAAGGGAATTTGGGGTTGGTCACTCGACAATCTCAATGATTTTTAAAAACAAGAATTTATTATTAAGTATTTCAGTTACTTTAATTAAAGATTTTTCTCTATTAATATATATACAGGTACGACTTTCCATTGACGTCAGTGGAGTTTGGTGTTGATATGTATTTTTACAGAAAGATTACATTTTTATAAGCACACACACAAAGTTTCAATATACGGAAACACATACTTATTGAGAAAAAAATATTGTAAATCAAGTAATTTTGCAATATTTAGTCAATTTCTACCGTGAAACTGACGCCATTTTTATTATTATTGTCAGTAAGGATGTCGATTCTTTCCGAAAAAGATCGATTTTTTAAATAGATTCGAATTGTAAGCTGATGTATCGATTCCCAAAAAATCGATTTCTAAAATATCGATATTTTTTCCATGTTTGCATTTATAATGTAAATATAAATCCATTTTATGAGAAAAAAATCCCCTTCATCATAAAAAAATAAGGGGACTGATTCATAAGGCTTTCTGTATCTATTTTGAGACTGCTACGTCTCCGGCGCTGCGGGAAGAGCAACCTCTACGCCTTAGCGTAACAAATCGTAGGCATCGGACGAGCCGAAGCGGCTGAGGCTGGTCGCCGAAGGCGACCAACAAGACAAAGCTGTGGAGGCAGGCAGGCGGAGGCTGCTCCCCCTACGCGCCTCCGGCTCTATAAAACCACTCTAGGGGTAGGACAGACTCGTACCAGGTGGAGTCGGGGTCAATCAATTCGGTTCTTTGACATAAGTTGAACCTAACCTATTTTATTTGTTATCTGCCCTAATAGGTACTGTTAAATAAAGCAAATTTCAATAAGAGATCATTTATCATGGTATCTTTCTTGTTTTCATAAAATGGGTTTATATTTACATTATAAATAGAAACATTAAAAAACTATAGATATTTTAGAAATCGATTTTTTGTGAACCGATACATCAGCTTACGATTTGAATCGATTTAAAAATCGACCTTTTTCGGAAAGAATCGACATCCCTATTGACGTCGACAATGACATTACAAAATGGCGCCAGTTTATTAGCAGATTAGACATAAACATTGCAAGAATAATTGATTTTCAATTATTCTTTTCTCAAAAATTACGCGTTTCCGTATATGGACACTTTGTGTGTGTGCTTATAATAGTGTAATCTTTCTGTAAAAATATGTATCAACACCAAACTCCACTGACGTCAATGGAAAGCTAAGCCTAAATACATATCAACAAAAATTGAAGATTGTTTATTTTCTACAAAACGTCCGCTTAGTCTGACATATTTGTTATTTCCCTTCGATGTCATTATAAACAGATTCCACTGTAATTGTCTTAAATAACATCACAATTTTTAATCATGAAAAATGAAAATAATTTAACTTACAACACCAAGAGGCACACTTAATGTCGTTTGTAGAGCAGTAGCTTCTGTTGGTCTAAAGTGAAGCTGATAGTTTGTGACTTTAAGAACTCCTCTGGAAGGCCCGCTGTAAGGGCACAGGTAGGTCACATCTCTCGCAACACCCATCACTTTCTCCCCATCTAATAACTGAATATCGCCTAACACATGTGACTGAAAATTAAAAGAATATATTATTAAAATTTACATTGTAAAACATACTACATGACTTATAAAATAAATTGTAACATATGTTGGTTCCTAATAATGTTTTTAAAAAAATTCTCATCATCATCCACATATCAATTTACACCAAGTCTAATATTATTTATAAATAATAATTATGTCAATAAATTGATAGTAAACAAGTACAAGCCTTGTTGATTTTATTATATTCTTTGTGGCTTCTTATTCGATTGACGAACAAACAAACGTGGATAGATTTATTCTGACTCATTTTGCACTAACACAAGCTGTTAAAATTAAGAACTCTACAAAAGAACTATGAATAATCTATAGGTAAACTTCCAGTAGGATCCTTCAGGAAGTGACCAAACAACGGTTATAACATTTATGAGGAATAAATTAATCCTTTTTGGAAACTTACGGAGTCTTGTCCGTGTTTGGAATTCAATGAACTCGATTTAGAGTCCGAATCCAGGGAATCTGAACTGGCGTTTTTAGAGAGCGAAAAATCTGAATTAAGCAACTCTGAACTGTTGTGCTTATCCATTTCAATAGGAATATTTTAAGAACTCGGAAATATATTAGAATAATATAATATCTCTAAACTTTCATATTATTTATAAACATCAACTAAAATTAGGACACAAATTCTGAAAGGTGTCAAAGGATGTCAAATAAACCAAACCAATTAGTTATTGGTTTTGTGGTTTTGATAATGACAATGTCGAATTGACAATTGACATTGACAAATGACATCCTGTGCTGCCAACTTAGGTTTTTGGACTCCGCGGCGCAGTAAGCTTAATTCCCCGCTTTTCTTTACTATTCTTGACTTCATAGGTTTTCTTTCATCGATTCCCCGTAATGTTATGCGTTCACATTATGGAGTGTAGGTCCACATCTAACACATCTTATTAGTTTGTGGACCACATGCTCTCGTACTTTGTTCATCGTACGTCGCCGCCACCGAACAGCACGGGTTACCGGTGCTCCGGTCCTACATATTTATTAATCTGTGTTCAGCGTTTTACTAAATGCATATGAAAGTATAAACGGTACTTATAACAAAAACACACTTTTTTAAAATTTTGTCTGTCTGTCTGTTCCAGGTAATCTCTGATATGGCTGGACCCATTTTAACGGGACTTTCACTGACAGATAGTTGATATCATAAGGAGTAGCTTAGACTACTTTTATTTTAGAAAAATAATTAGTGTTCCTCGCGAAAAAATTAAAACCCAAAATTGCACGCGGGCGAAGTCGCGGGGAACAGCTAGTATATATATATATATAGCGCCGATGAGGTGCTAAGCTAGCCTAGGGCGCAGTCGACATTTAATCCGCCTCTGCCTCCAGATTTGAGTGACCTGAAAGCGTACTTCGATGAATGCTACTGGAACTCCTCGAAGAGTAGAACTAGGTGTGCCGAGTTTGTCCTCGTTTTATTAGTAACTAGCTGGCTAGGCAGACGTTGTTCTGCGCTTTTCCAAGACTCTTCCTATAAAAAAATCTTAAATTCGCTATAAAAAATATTGAGGGGCACTTATCGGGATAAAAACTATCCTATCTATCAAGTTGGACCAAACTGAACAAGTTTGAAAAATTTCATTGAAATCAGTTCAGTAGTTTAGGAGTTCATCGCGGACAAATAACGTGACACGTAATTTTTATATATAAAGATGATGAGACCTTACCTCCGGACTTGACGGAGTGACTTTGAGGTGTAGGTACTTCGGTGACTGCTACAGGAGCGAATTAATTATCATATGAGCATTATGAGTCGTGTACTTTTAGATTTTCCAAACTTTTTTTAAATTGAATTTTGACATAAAATTATCGGAAAATTGGAAGTACAGGAATAAGATTATTAGTGAAAACTTGTGTGTATTTAAACTACTTTAAAAATTTAGATATAATCATGTTATACGTAATTTATTTCTTATGCGCTTAAGGCACGCATCATTGGATTTATCAATAGTTAATAGATTAATAGAATCAAGCGTTACTTTGCAGAAATCCATTATAATGGGGTTGTTATAAACTAATTTGCTTAAGTCCGCGTAAAGAAAGAAAATGATGTGTCCTGCCCAGTTTTAAGGGGACCTCCCACCCTCCCTCAATTGCGCGCACTATACCCGACGCCGTCAATCCCAGCACTACCACCCCCAGCACCACCGCACTAGGCACGACACACCACTCTCGAAAATACGACACGTGTTTCGCCTCTATACGTGGCATCCTCAGGTGAAGTAGACTCTGCGGAGGCTGTCCGCTTAGTACTTCCGTTAAGTCACGTACTAGGTCACAGAACGTGCCAAAGAAATAGATATACTCGTGAAAAAAAAATTACCCTCCTTCGTCAGTTCAGTCGGGCAAAAAGTTGTATGTCACATATAACTGTGTTTTTTTTTTACTAGCTGTGCCCCGCGTATATCACCTCGCTTAAAGGTTCAAAATTTTCTGGCCTGAACTAATCTTAAAAAAATTAAAATCCACTAGTAAAACTCCTTCGGAATCCAAAAGATTGCAGCCTTATTTTTTTTTCTGAGATTGAGCCACCTTTGCTTTTTTGGCCGCGTTGAGCTCGGACGACGAAACTCCATCGATTCCTTTTTTGATTGAGGATCGTGATAAGAACCATGGTTTTATCACCCATAACAATTGAATCCAAAATTCTTTCTGTCCGCCTTCACAAAGGATAAAAACTGAGTATAGCAGTTCATTCGTTCTTGTCTTTAAATAGCGGAAAGGAGTTTTGGGTGCCACCTAGGACTGACCTTATTTATAACCAAATGTTTATGTAGGATTCTAATCTCTATTGTTCTTGAAAGTCCCGTCATAATTGATTATTCTTTAGTCTTTAGCCGTTTGTCTTCCCTTACTGTCTTCTCCACAAATTTAGTGTTTTCATCCGTAATGGCTTCGGATGCTCGTCCTGGCGCGATCCATTATCAATTAATTTTATTCTCATACGAAATTGTTTCGCCCATTCTTTTATGGTGGAGTACGAAGGGGAAGAAAGCCCGTACACAGCATCCAACCGTTGCTTGATTTCCGCCGATGTCTTCCCCTCTTTTGTCAAAAAAATTATTACAGCTTGATACTCGATTTTATGCATTTCGAAATTTTTAATCGACAGTCTAACTTTATTAAGCTATATCACTGTAACAAAATTACATAATTTAAATTTTTTTTTGTGGGTAGGTAACGAAATGTCCGGTAATTTAATGACATGAAAGTTTTGTATCTTGGATTAATCTAATGTGGTTAGGCCAGAAACTTTTGGACCTTATTTAATACGTACCACTGCTGGGCACAGGCATCCTCTCTTTTCTGAGAGGGTTTTAGGCCAAGGAAGTGTCCGCCGCGCTGTCCTAATGCGTGTTGGCGGACTTCACATATCTTCAAAATATTTCTTTTTATTTCTCAAACATGCAGATTTCCTCATGATGGTTTTCTAAATCGCCCAGCACGTAGTTAATGTAATGGCGCGTGACCACCTCGCTTACGCATATATTATTGTTGCGCGCCACTATTAATGTCTTGTACATGGCAACACTAGTTACACTAGCGCCCTCTAGTGTCGAGTAAATGAAAGTATTGCGCGCCACTATTAATGTCTTGTACATGGCAACACTAGTTAGACTAGCGCCCTCTAGTGTCGAGTAGCAGAACTAGGAGAGTCGAGATCCTTCCAGAAATTTCGGGACCGATATGTACTCGAACATTCTAGATGTCGCTACAGTAGAAGGTTCTGGAAACTATCTGAGGCCTTATATAAGGCCGGTATAGACCACGACCGGGGCAGTATTGAATTGGCGATACAAGAGAATACTTCGAAGCGAAATAACGGCGAACTGTGTTTTATTATTAGTGTGATTTTAGATTGTAATTAGTGTTGTGTAATTAAAGTGTCAATTTTGGTAATTCAATCGGCAGTTTTTAATTGTCTCGAACCCCAAGCTCGTAACATTATGTTATGTTATGACACCTCGCGCACCGGCGTTCACTACTGGTTTCTCTTGGTTCTCATCGGTCGGCTAGGCTTATGTGTCGTTCGCGCTCCGTGCCGAGTGTTTAATTATATTATTTTTTCATTATCCCTTAAACTACGCGTCCAAATAATATGTGTGGCGGCGCTGTCGTCGCGCCACAAGCGAAACACATCGAAGCCTAAATCGCACTAACAAAGTTCCGAAGTTAAAGCAGCATATATAGAATAGCTCCGAATTACCAACCGAAGCGTTGGCCGCTCCCCGGGCAGAACACCTTGTCGGGCGGGAGATCTCCCCGTTTCCTTCCACCCGCCACATATGCTTTAAGGAGCAAAGTTTATTTGTCTCTTGATGACGATGTAACTTTCGTTCGTAACGATTAATGTACCATGTAAAATACCCTGTTGTGGCTTATGTATAAGTGATAGGTATATGGTGCCGCGGACTTTTTTATAGATGTAGTGTAGGTCTATGCTTTTGCAGAATATTGTAATCACATATCACTAATCATTACGCCAGTGTACGCGGATAAACCAATTTGGGGGCGCTTTTTCTTCTCAATTGATTAACAAAATCAATATTTAAGGCTAGCTGTTAGGCGTAACCTAATGCTAGATAGCCTATACTATTCTTTATGAATCTGGATATAATATATTAAACTAATTTTTCAAATCCGAGTGGTCCAGAAATTAGCGATTTAAACAAACAAAAAAACTCTTCCGCTTTACTATATTAGTATAGATATCACCACGATATTACTGTTGTGATGAGTAACGTGTCGTTTTTGAAAATGTGTGTCGTATGTAAATAAATAAAGTAACAGCTTATAATACACCATAGCTGGGCACTAGAAGAGTCCGCCGCTCTGCTTCAATGCGATATACAGGTTTACTAACGATGTTTTTCTTCACCGCTGAACACTTGATTTGCAATTAACAATTTCATTATTACCGGCAGAGATTGAATCCGGATAACCCACGTTTTATGAAATTTACGGTGAGAATTCGGCCCCTGTGCGCCACCGTGGCTCTAAGGCGCTCACTTAAAACTCCAGAAAAAGTAATACAATATGTTAGGCTGTTGTAAGTGCTTTAAATTTTATTTAAAGGAATGTGTATGTTATTAGTCAAAGTAACCTTAACAATAACAATCATCAATTAAGTAGTTCTTAATTGTATATTTTAAAAGGCATTTCACGGTATTATCTATGGACCCTAACCTGATGAGACCACTAGCGAGATTACCCTAAACAATCATTATTGTACGAGAACTAGCTGCATTCGACTATTAATGCTGGTGTTCCACAAAGCTGCGTGCAGTCTCTGTTCCTTCACTCTCATAGTCCGATGGGACAGCAATTCGAGGCGATCGGAGAAACATCAGGCACAGGACCAACGGCTTTATGTGCTATTCGCGGCACGTAGGTGAGACACCGCCGACTTTCTGCTACTGTGAATTTCTTGTCAAAAAAGCATAATAACTGATTTTTGGCCCGACCCGGATTTGAACCCGGCACCACATGATCGACAGTCGGGCTCACCACCTCTCGATCAGCGAGGCAGTCAAGGCTTCTCCATATAAGTGATATGTTGCAAACCAATAACATTCATTACTATGTAGATTACAGCACTGAACTTAGAATCATCTGGTGGCTAAATGATAAAAAAAAGTTTTCTTACTTTTATTCATATCATTTTACTTTTGTACAATTTCAGTTAAATACAAAACTTATTCGAGTCGATTCGAGTTTGGAGGATTTTCTGTACTGTCTAATCTTGGCAGATGGTTTATCGACTCGCTTTGCCACTGATCCCTATTACTGATTCGGAAATATTTTAGGTCTAGTGATTTTGATATTCCATTACTCGAATGCCTCTGGATTTTTAAATGGCGGACCATTTGTTTACGAGACGCAAGAAATGACATGGGTTACAAATAAAATAGAACAGACAAAGTATAATTTAAAATTAAAAATTTTGTATAACCGACCTCAATATTAATTATTAAGAATAACTCAAAAACCAATGGTCAGACCTTGATCAAATTTATATGGGACCACATGAGAAGTACTAGCTTTCAAATAAATAAAAATAATTATCGTTATCGAAATTGGTTCATCCAGAAAAAAGTTATGAGGTAACACACATAAAAAAAATACAGTCGAATTGAGTATCTCCATCTTTTCTACTATACTATTAGATAGGATATTATATAGGTATTACTAATATCCACGAGCATATCCATTGCGAATGTTAAATCGATAGTGTAACTGTGGTTACCCACGGTTAATGCATTATTACGGTTATACAGGTTTCTTTATAGGATACAACTTTAAAACATTCCTTACTAAAACCTCATTAAGCAGCAAGTAAAATGAAGATCCCTGTTAGTATTTCTTTAAGTACCTACTTAGCATATTGTAAACAAGATGACAACTGTGAGCCTCAAAGAAAATTAAAATCTGAAAACTTTGAGTGGGATGCGAATCATCCAAAATCACTTTCGTCTATTTGTGTTGAAAAATTAAGTGAAAATTGGGTTGGTAAGTGTAATTCGAAAATGTTTTATAATATTACAGTAAGAAATGTGCTAACTGCCTCAGCAGTCTAAATGGATTATCATATGGATTATTATATGAAACGCCTCACAGTCTGTAAGTAAACATATTTTATTACCCTTCGAACCAAAACAGAGCTATATGCGTGTCGTGCAGCTTGGTGGCAAAAATAGGTACAAGGTGAGAGACATCTCTACATAATGTGCAACACGTAAATTTAATATATATAAATAAAATGAAATAAATTAATAGTATTAATATTTTAGGATCTCCTAAGTTGGATGAACTAATTGCGAAGGATCGTGATGTATTCCTGCAAATTTTAAATACCAATGTGCCACTTCAAATTCTGGTTGATAATATAAAAAATGATGTATTTTGGAAGAGATGTTATTATTCTAAATGGAATGATTCGCTGTTTACGGCTGAACAAAAACCATGGATCAATCTATTCATGGAGCGTTTTTATGCAGATGTATTGGAAAAAATGAATCCGAAGGAATACGATCCAGAGAAGGTAGCGAAAATATTACAACCTTAACTACTTGAGTCCAAAGGCTAAACAAGCCTACTTAAATATTTTTTTTATAGCAGAGGGGGCAAACGAGCTTGCGGCTCACCTGATGGTAAGTGACTACCGCCGCCCATGAACAACTGCAACACCAGAGGAATTGCAGATACGTTGCCGGCCTTTTAAAAAGGAGTAGGATCTTTTCTTGAAGGTCCCTAAGTCGTATCGGTCCGGAAATATCGCTGGTGGTAATCGATTCCACAGGGAAGTTGTGCGAGGAAGAAAACATCTTCTAAATCGCACAGTGGTGCACCGCCAATCATCCTGATGGTATGGATGGTATCGCGAGTTTTATCACGATGTGCGATGGTGAAACTGAGTGGCTGGAATTAGTCCGAACAATTCCGCAGAGCACTCCCCGTGATAGATGCGATAAAATACGCAAAGAGATGCAACATCTCTACGGAGTGCCAGTAAGTCAAGTCGGGAAAGAACTCGATCGTCGACGATTTGAACCGCTTTGCGCTGGATGCGCTCAAGTGGAAGGGGCTGGCACTGGGGATCTTCTGCCTAGGGATGGGAACAGTATTCCATGTGAGGCCGAACCTTGTAAAGTTGCAAGCGGTGTGCCGGCATTAAATACTGTCCCGCTCTACTGAGCAAGCTAAGCTTTTTAAAGGCCAATTTGGCCTTCTCTTCCAAGTGACACGAAACTGCACATCACTCGATATGTCTATATCGAGGAATCCGATACCGGCTGAGGCAACAAGGAGAGTGCCTTGAAACTAAGGGGTTCTTTTTAGCGGTAAACGCGCATAAAAGAAGTAATCTTGTGTCTTCTGGGGATTGAACTGATCAGTGAACAGTCTGAGATTTTGTTCAACAAAGTCTCGACTTCAGACATAAGTTTTTTCCGGTACTCGGCGACGTTTTCCCGAAAAATATTGTCACGGCCGGTATATAAGGCATCACCAGTGCTGTCGTCTGCATAGCAATGAATGTTACCGGTTTGCAACATACCATTGATATGCAGAAGAAACAGCGTTGGTGATAGCACGCAGCCTTGTGGAATACCAGCGTTAATGGGCTTGTAATCGGAGCGTGCACCGTCTACTACAACCTTAATGCTCCGATCTGCAAGAAAACTGGTGATCCAATTGCACAGTTTCTCGGGAAGTCCATAGGAAGGGAGCTTTGAAAGAAGCACTTTGCGCCAAACCCGATCGAAGGCCTTCGCTATGTCCAAATTAACGACCAACGCCTCCCCCTTAGACTCCACTGCCTCCGCCCATCTATGAGTTAGGTAACGTAGAAGATCACCAGCTGAGCAACCTCGACGGAAACCGTACTGGCGGTCACTAATCAGCTGGTGATCCTCAAATGTAATTACATTAATGAAAAAGAAAATACCAGTTTACATATTATGTCCTAATGCTGGGCCCAGGTCTCCTCTCATTCCTGAGTGCTTATCGTACGTATCGTATTGTACATAATATTTTTCATAAAAATGTTATGTACGTATTTTGGCAATTTATTTGTGTATATAATATGATACTTTGTCCAAGATACACACAGTTGCCCTTGAATATTTTTCGTTAAAATTTTGTACAACTCTAAAAAGAATGATAGTAGTATGTATTGTAATTAATTCTTCCATTTTAGGCAAAACAATTGGTAAAGCTTTGTGGACCTTACGTTCAATCGTTAATAATAAAAAGCTTAGTTCCATCCGATATTCCCGTACAGAGGATTACCTCTCCAGAAATGGCCGAACTTTTAACATGTCGGCGACAGAGTGAGCCGAAAACTACAAAAAATATTCATCAGTTAAATAGAGGTGTTTGTTACTTAGATTTAATATTTGTATGTTCAAGCTGTATATTAAAATATTTTATTTTGCTCAATAATTCCCCATTTACAGATCATATATCGTTACATGCGGCTTTGGGTAGTTTAACTAATTTGACAGAATTACACATTACTTACCAGCTTAGTTCCGTCGGCGAGAATTATAGAAGAGACCAATTTCAGTTCATTAATAATGATGCAAAGAATTTGGCGTCTGGCTTGGAGAAATGTAATCTTTTGAAAGTACTCAGGTATACTTTTATCTATAACAATGTTTAAGTGGAACATTAAGCTAATTATGAATAGCTTTTAAATACCCATGTAGCCAACTGTGTGAGATACAGTGACTAAATATATTATTGTGTTTAGAAATTAAATTCCTATTCTTCATTGCATAAATTTAAGCTTCTTAGTCAATGCATCTTAAAGATACAGCCATTTATGTCACGTATTTTGATATCCGCAAACTTACTCATCAAAACCTATAGGTAGTACCTATAGGTTTTGATGTTTGACTTACTGATGACCTAGAACTATGAAAGTTGGCAAGAATCAGGGTGACATTATTACAGGTAGACAATGTTGGATTTATCAATACGAATAAATACAAGAATAGAATAGCGCCAGTAGACAGTTTAGCTGTTTTAAAATAACCATACCTACCGAATTGAAGATATCCGGAAGCGCAAGGAAGATTTAGATCGCTAGTTTTTGTCTTCTTTTCTATCGACTTCAAAAAGGAGACGGTACTCAATTCGACCGTATTTTTTTATGATTGTTACCTCATTAATTTTTACTGGGTGAACCGATTTCGATGATTCGTTTTTTATTTGAAAGATGGTGCTTAACATGTGGTCCCATATAAATTGGATCAAGGTCTGCCCAATAGTTTTTGAGTTATTCTTAATAAATTATATTGAAGTCGATTGTACAAAATTTTAAATTTTAATTTACACAATTTCTTTTAGCAAATAACAATTTATATTAATACAGTACAATTTGATGGAGAATCTAGGATTTTGAAGGACTGTAAAGAAATTCACACCATTTCATTCAAGACGAACTCGAGGTGGCATCAATGTCGTGGGATACTACCAAATGCTTGCCAGAAGTGTTCACGACTGTAAGCAACAAGCAACCTAACAAATGCTCTGCGGGCTACTGTTTCACCATGAAAACGTGCCCGCACTTTCAGCGTTCAAAACGAACGACTTCTTTAGTAGCACACCGGTTAAGCTTTTGCGTCGCCCTCTTTACAGCCCTGATGTGGCACTGTGTGGCTTCTTTTTATTTTCTTAAATAATAAAAACATGTGTGCAGTTCACTCGCGGTAGAAGTGAAAATATAAAAAATACATTTTTATTATTAACCTATCGACGCTTGAAAGGCAATAATTACCAAGCGACATTTTGGGTGAATTTGAGTTATATTGTAACCAGCAAAAAAATTCTACGTCGATATGTCATACTTTCGTACCGATAGGAAGAGTTTCGTTGTCGCTTGCTAAATGCTAACTAAAAAAACAATCACATTTTCACAGTTTTCGGCGACCAAGCGAATAAAATTTTATTTATTTATGAATAATTTTCACTTGGTAGGTATTCCATTTTAACTTTATACACTTAGTAATTTTTTCCTTACGGTATCTAGGGTATAAGCTTTACTTAAGAAATTTTAGCGGATTATTTTTTTTTTGTATCGTCATTTAAGATTTTTTAACATTCACTATTTATGTATACATTTTCAATTAGTATTTTTTTCCTAAATGCAATGGACTTAAAAAGACGTAATATAGTAGTACTTTTCTTGCCTAAAAAGGATATATTTTGTCGTTTGGTAATATTTTACCTGAGATTTTTTTACTGTTTTTGTTACTTAGATAACTATATCTGATATGAAATTTGAATACCTAAAATGAGCTTACCCATGTTGCATGTATTTTATTTTGTCGCTTAGGCCCGCCATATACATACGGAATTCCGTTTCGAGATTTCGTTTCGGAATTTCGAACGGTCGGCCACACACAAACGGAATCCCGTTTTGCCCGCAAAATATCGAACGGAAAACTACCGTACGTGTATGGCGGGTCATAGATTTTATATGGACTTGCTGCGTTCGGGATTCCGAATCGGAATATCGAAACGGAATCTCGAAACGGAATTCCGTATGTATAGAGCGGGCCTTATACGCTTATACAGTACAGCAGATTTTGAGTGGCTGTTGGTAACAAAATATACATAGATCTTAATCTTCGTCTTCACCGAACTGTCGCATAGGCAACCTAATATACCATATATACCTAATAAGTAGTAACTAAAACTCTAAATTGTTAGAACTTCATCTTAATTGTGTTGTTTAGCAAAATATTTTAACACCACAAATCCTTAAAGTCTGGTGCTTTCCCTTCCATTTGGAAATTGGCTCACATCGTACCCATTCACAAGTCCGGAAGTAAGTCCAACTGTGAAAATTACAGACCTATTAGCTTTTTGTGATATATTGCTAAGGTATTCGAATCTGCGTTATATGATCATTTTTACTCTCAAGTTAAGCCGCTTATATCCAACAAGCAGCACGGTTTTGTGAGAGGCAGATCAACAGTGACTAACTTGTTAGAATATAAAAATTACTTACGTGAAGTTTTTGCCATGGGTGGGCAGGTTGATGCCGTGTACACCGATTTTACGAAAGCTTTCGACAAAGTAAATCATTCTTTACTCTGTAAGAAATCAGCTATGTCGGGAATTCATGGAAATCTACTACGATGGGTTCATTCGTACCTCGATAACAGAAGCCAACTTGTCGCTCTCAAAGGTTTCATGTCATCACCTGTCACAGTTAAATCAAGTGTTCCTCAGGGTTCACATCTCGATCCGTTATTTTTATAATTTTTATAGACGATCTGATTTGCAAACTGTCCAGTCCTTGCCTTCTATATGCAGTTGTCTTGAAAATATACCGTGTGATACAGGACTTTTCTGACTGCGGTAAACTACAAGATGATATAGATTCAATATATGAATGGTGCCGGCTTAACGATATGCACCTCAATGTTAAAAAATGTTTTGTTATAACGTTCATTAATAAGAGATATAAACAGACTTATGACTATAAAATTGCTACTTGCTCTACCAACTCCCCTTCTATTCTTATTTCACATATCGTTATACTTTCTTCTCTTTCAAAAAACTTTTTGATAACTAATACTGAAAAAAAAACCATAGTGACACAGTATATCCTTCTTATTCAGTTCCTGAAATATCTTTCAAATTTGTCCAATATTAGAGGAGGAAATGGTAGAGAGCCAAACCTCGAATTATGCCTTTTTACTTATGCTTTTTGTCGGATCTGCAGTTGTCCTTATCGGACGTCGAGCGCTCACAGAGCGACAGCGATAGTTTCTTCAAATTCCTAATTTTCAAGTCTCTCGGCCAGCATTTTCTCTTAAGAAGATTTTACTTTTAAAAAACTAGCTGAAATGGTTACAGTTTCTATCCCCGGAAAATGCGCTAGCAGCGTTCGACTAGGTCGTAGAAGAGGTGTCTGGGACGGACTGAAAAAAGTGTTTTGAAAATTGGTTCAGAAGCATGAAACTTTGTATAAATGCTTGTGGAGAGTACTTTGAAAATATTTAATAGTAAAAACTTTAATCGTAGAACTTTCTTTAATTTCGTAAAACTTTCGGAGAGGCCCACGTACGAGTATATTAGTATATAAGCCAGCACTACAACAGCTGCCACTTTGCTTTATCGCTTTTAATATAAGTTTTAATGAATCGCTTTTATATTTTAGAATTACTAGAAGTGACATGAATTGTCAAAGGGTAAAATATATTTTACGTGGACTATCGGATAACGTAAACCTAGAAACTTTAGACTTCAGTCACTGCAAAATTGGCGACGATGGTGTGTCGTTTGTAGCTAAATTCATATCGAAACACGACAAACTCAGAAATCTTATTTTGGCAGACAATATGTTTGGTAAAATATTTTAGTTTTATAATTTTTAATTGCAAATTAAACAGAAAGTGAAAATTTAAAAATTTTGTTACTTGCAGGACCCGATGGAGGTGAAAACATAGCACATGTATTAAATCATACATGCTGTGGTCTGCGAACCTTAGATTTGCGACTAAACAATAAACTTGGTTCAGATGGTATCGCTCACATAGCAGTTTCACTCGCACGGGGATGCAATCTAACCTCGTAAACAAAATATTTTTATTTATTACAACAATTGGTTGAGTACCTTTTCAAAGTAATAATAATAGTAAATTAAAATCTGATTTCTATTAAAATATTTGGATATCAAATCATTGTACAGTAATAACAAATAAACTATTTCAATAATAGATACATACTTCTAAAAATAAATTGTAACTGATAAGAAACTTTTTCTACATAAAAATCACTAAAGATTTTGATAAATTCCAAAACATGGAGCAAATGAATTAATGATAAATAGGAATAACATTGCCATGCATCTTCTTAGATCATGCATACTATGCGCAAGCCAATTTTTATTAAAGGCTGATATTATGGAGGCCACACTTTTTCTTCTATATTCTAAAAACAATCCCGGCTTTAATAAGAGTATATTTTTATAACATGTAATTTTTACTTAACGTGTAATCATAGAGCAACACGGGCCACCGGCGGACCGGAAGGGAGTTGCCATACTTTGGCGTTCCCCTCTGTCAAAATATAAGTCCAAGTCCATGCGGTCCCATGCGTACAATAAAACCAGTTGCAGCCGCACTGCTCATTAAACTAAATCTAGTTGCGCGGCTGAATCAATGTCCTACAAAAATGTCGAATTTATCAGTTTTCAGAGATCTGCCACGTCAAATTTGCAAAAAGATGGCGATACCTTTCATAACTATGTAATTTTTTATCACATTATTGCTATTTACTTCTTCTTAAACTTAAAAATTGCAATAATGATGGTCCTGTTATTTCGGATTTGTTTACCAACACAGATCGCTCGCCCTCATACAGTACGCGAATCGGTCGAACGACTGATCTGAGTCTGTATCCGAGATATCGCTGTCACTGAGCGATACTGTTTTAATGTATCTATGTGTGTGTGAAATTGTTTGTTTATTCTTTTAATTCTTATGTGTGAGTTTCGTAGTAACAGATGATTGTTTTGTGTGCGCAGATTTCTCCCCGCAAAAAATGACAGATAGTTCTGTATCGAGAAAAAATGCTATGGCTACTCCCCGCCGGTTCGCCGGTGGCCCGTGCTGCTTTATGCGTCTAACTTTGCCCATTTTTTTAGTTTAAATATATCCGCCTGCGGAATAAAACCTGGTCCGCTACAAAAGTCACCAGCTGGTGTTTGGTCTGCTTTAAATGCTGAAAATCATCCAACCTGCGGCGATATCTTAGCAAGAGCAATTGGTTTAGTGAAGACACCCCTTAGGTCTCTGGATATAAGCGTTAACAACATTGGATCGGTATGTTAATCTTTTTTATATATAATTCTTCTGCACGTGTGTTTGTCACTGAACTCCTTCTAAACGGGTGGACCGATTTTGATGATTTTTTTTTGTGTGGCTCCCTGAATGGTTGAGATTCACATTCAGACTTGGTAGCTTGTATTGTACTTGTACTTGGTGGCGCTGTTGTCGACATACAGAAATAACCCGTGTGAAGCAGGGGCGGGTCGCTAGTAGAACTATAAATTATACACGGAGTTAAAAGTGAGATTCAGTGAGATCAGGCTCGGTGGTATTTGATTGCTTAAGTGTTTTGTTCATTTTGACAGCGGGTTAGAATCCCGCACGAAACAAATGTTTTTATGGCCTATAAATAATTGTTTGGTGTCTGATGTTTGTCAATGAGAAACGCTTTCGCGCTACAGAACAAAATCAAGGTCTAATTCAATAAAAAAATAAAACTGCAAAAAACCGAGTCCATCTATACATATTTTTTTTATAGGATAAGGGTGACAAACGAGCACACAGTCCACCTGATGGTAAGTGGTTGCTGCGGCCCATAGACATCTACATCTATCCTCGTTTGCGAATCAAAATGCAGATGCGTTGCCACCCGTGAGGACTAAGATAGAATGCCTCATTTCCAGTAAAAAGGGCCTCCGGCCACCTGCACTCACCAAGCGAAACGCAGTGGTAAACCTCTACTTCACGCTGGTATTCTGTGAAGTCGTGGTACCACGCCGGTTCGAGCCGGCCCATCCGTGCGACAGCAAAAACTGCCGCGTGGCTCTACCACTGTTGAATCTACTCTATCACATATAAAAGAGGTTGTTGGTATATATGAAATCGTTTAATTCAAGATCTATTCGATCGATCACCATGAAAATTAGAATATACATATATGTATTTTTCAATGCGAGGAGGTTTATATTTATAAACTAAAAATAATAATTGAAAAAACAAATTTCGACACAAACAAAATAAAGAAATATTATTTTATATGCTTTTTTATCAATCAAGCGCGGCAAATAATAAATTACTCGTAAATTGCATGCGCTAAAATAAAAAAAAAACGTTGCTGAACACAACCTATGATATTAACTGGCAGGACAACGTCTGCCAGGTCCAACTACTAGTACATAAAATGGGAACCCCAAAATTAACTCATTTTTTTATGTCTGACTGTTTGTTTGTCTGTTTAATTATGGCGTATCACGCTAAGGTTTCATGCGAAAGCTGCAAAAACGATTATTATGAGAGTTTTAATGTTCGGAAACTGACAACTACGGTTAAAACGTTTTTCGTCAATCCGTAAACGTTCACTGTTGAACATGGGCCTCGCGTTATAGGGAAGATTTGCGATTTGATTTGAGATTTGGATTGACGATCGGATTACCAGGTGCATCTTGCATCTTTGACGCAGCTTTCCTTTAGTCAGGGTATTTTACATCCGGCTTAAACGAGATGGTTATACAGCCATATATCGTAAGCCATGAGATCTCTCTGGCGTTTCCTTTGATTATATACACATATACTTACATAATTATTTATTACAGGCGCCATTTATGACACCCAGGAAAAGAAATGGGGTGATGAATTCCCTTACGAAGCCATACGGAAATCAAGTGCTTAATTTATGTTATAGGTCCATAATAAATGAACTAAGATATCTATACTACATTTAAAAATTTGTGTCGGCCTGTAAGATTTGAATTTGGCTTCTGTTAAGCTCCATATTTATATAGCGAGGGTTATTTGCATGCTATTAAGGCTCAATTTAGATTGCGGTGGATTGGAAGCGTCAATTTCTTCAAGAAATGAGAATGCTCGAGCGAATTCCAGCGACTGCACCTCGAAACTAACTAAGTGGCTGCGAGTACCACTTCCCGGCTTCCAGGGGATTCCACAACCTTCGCGCCGCTTCCCGCGGATTCCACAGACTGCGCCAACAGTAGCTAGGGGAATCCTCGAGAATTTCACGGAAGACGCGTGACTTTTTTTTTTGGCTAATATCTAGTTTCAACGTATATATATATATATGTGTGTGTGTGTGTATATATAATGCCTCATTTGTAAAGCCTCATATCTCATATCCAATGGTAGCGACCACAGCTGAGATTCTAACACCACCTGACCACACCACAAAGTACCACCCTGTTACTCTGACCACTAGATCATGCGGTCGCGAAATAGCTTATTAATTATTATCAATAATTCCAATCACTTATTCAACAGTAAATTGTTACATTGTCGATTTCAGCCTAGTGATATAACGTTGTCTAACGCAATTTGCCTGAGTTATTTGATAGATATAAATTTAAAAAGATCGGGGATGAGCTCGATGGCCATGGCAATAGCAGAAACTGCGGCTGCCGCTCAAAGACTCAGAAGAGAAGCAGAGAAAGGAATAAGATTCAGAAGAAGCGCTGGAAGAGTTGTGCAAGCAAGACGAGTTGCAAAGGGCATGAATATAGGTAAGCACCTATTTATCAAATGGAAAAAGTTAACAATACCCAATAATTGCTAGAATTATTGCTCATTAGGTAAAAATGTGTTACTTAATTAACATGTATGTTTAAGTTACTTTCGTATTGTGTTTCTTAGCCGACTTCAAAGTAGGAGATGAAATTTTTAATGTACCTGTTTAGACGATATTGAAATTGTGATATTCTTTAGTTAATTGAATAAAACTAATTTTAGGGATTTTATAGCGTTTAATTATATTTTTTTTAATTCGGGCACTTTACAGCACCCATGGTCCCGGGTGGACTTAGGTGTTCGACGTTCTGATGTCATAGTTAACGAAGGCTACCTTCAATTTTTAATTATTAATTTTTGGTGCGATCTACGCAGTACGAGCTTGGGCTGTAATGATCCAAAACAATTTTAAACGTACATATATTGGTTTTAATTGTACAATTTTTGAAATATTTGGCACTTACAAAGCAACGTAATATACTTTATTTTTAGATTTTATTATTTATTTTTAGATGCAGATCCGATTCTTCTGGCTCAGCAATTATCTGCTCGACCATCAATCGTGTCTGTAACATCAGAAGAAGGAACTTATAGTATTCAAACACAGCCTTTACCGACTGATTTTGGATTTGTGCCAGCATTAAAGGTACCATTTTTTATGTATGGCCTTTCTAGTAATATCACAATTGTGAAAATAAAAGTAATTTGCAAAAAATAATGTTTGGTATAGTAATAGAAAATGCAAGTTGTTGAAAACCTTCCCTTAGATCATATAATGTCATCCTTACTTTTTACACATACTCTACAGGTTGTTCAGTAATTAATGGATTACTTGAAATGTTCTTTTACCAAATTCAATATTAAGGTAGGTACAATTAAACCTAAAAATATTTCTCAAATTTACTCTTATTTGCACATTAAATGGAATAATTCAATTTCTAACATAAGAAGCAATTGCAAAAGTGATTTATATCATTTTGAAATCCCTCTTGTCAAAAAAAATAATTGAGCCACTTCTGCACTAAAAAGTTAACACACATAGTAGTCTAGTTACCGTGTAGGTCGCACATGAATTGGCCAGCAACATCTTCCTGATAACAACTCGAAATCATAAAAAAATCTGCGGTTGCCATCCCGCTTGCCAAGGTGGCAACAATGGCAAAATCCTCCCTAAGAGGAAATCATTGGATGGGGCCTATGTTTAGCAGTGGACATTTATTGGTTATAATGGATAGATGATGGGTGGCTCACACACAAAAAATATTGCACTATATTTTTTGGTTTATCGACTAATTACCGGGCACTTAATATACAATCTTAAACGTCAATACATTGCGCACATAAGAAAAATACGATCAACATTGTCAATTATTACAGAACATCAGAATAAATATTGTGCATCGGCAAATATTGGAAACAACGGTACTGACGAAAGTAATTTGGTCCTAAAAACATCGTTCATTATCAAACGGAAACATAAATATTTACATGGTAGAGCCAGGCCTCTGTCACTCTTGCTACCTGCGTGAAATAATTACCTACAATCGCGAGCTGCCCCAGGGGTAGATCGCAGTCGGGGTTAGCGCGCTCTATACGATTGAATGTTAATTTTTTTTAACGCTATATACGTAAATAATTTTTTGTAAATACTTGTTGAAGTACCAGTCGAAATAGTTTTTGTTTAGTGTTTAGTATATTTAATTGTAGGATAAAATAGTTGAAAAAGTTTTAATGTAATTTAAGAATAAGATATATGTATATTACCTATCTATTTGATAAATTATAATGGAAAAACGTCATCCCTACTATAAATGTTGCGGGGATGGATGCTTAATGAGCAATTAAAAAGGTCTGTTAAGCTGGAATGGTCATTTGGGCTAAATCACTTAAATTTTTGCTTAATATTTAGTGCTCATTTAGTGCTAATTTAGTGCTGCAAATTTAAATTTCACGCCAAAATAGCTTGATGAAAAATTAGAAAACTGCTAGCTTTTAATTAAGCTAGCAGTGTTCTACCTATTAAAACGATAACCGCTTAATATAGCACCAAATAGAAGCGTCAATAATTTAGTGCTCATTTAGTGCTACCGATACACGCAAAAACAAAAATTTTGGGAAAATATATATTTTTTTAATATCATAAATTCTGCTACTTTGACATCTTTAGCAGAGTACGTACTGAAAAAATTGACATCGACATGAATTATCACCTAATGATATATGATAATACATTAGTGCTCGTTTAGTGCTGTCGATGTATGAAAAAGGATTTGAGAAATTATTATTTTTAAATACCGTTAACTGCTACTTTTACATCTTCAGCAGAGAATGACATCCGAATGAGTTATTACCTAATGATATAAGATAATAAATTAGTGCTCATTTAGTGCTGTCGATATATGAAAACTTCACTGCTGGCTGGATGAGGAAGCTCAAGGTCGCTCAGCGAGCTATGAAGATGTCCTTGCTCGGAGTTTTTCTGCGTGATAAACTTAGAAATGAGGATATCCGCAGTAGAACCAGAGTGACTGACTTAGCCCAATGGATAAGTAAGCTGAAGTGTCAATGGGCCGGCCATGTAGCTCGAAGAACCGACAATCGATGGGGGAAAAAAGGTTCTCGAGTGGCGGCCTCGTACCGTCGGACGAAGTGTAGGACGTCCCCCTACTAGATGGAGTGACGAACTGATAAGATATGCAGAAAGTAGAGGGATGGAGGTGGCTCAGGAGCGTGCTTTGTGGTATTCCTTGGGGGAGGCCTATGTTCAGCAGTGGATTTGTGATGGGCTGTAATGATGATGATGATGATATATGAAAAAGGATTTGAGAAATTATTATGTTTAAATACCGTTAACTGCTACTTTAGACATCTTTAGCAGAGTATGTGATAATACACATTGACATCCAAATGAGTTATCACCTAATGATATAAGATAATAATTTAATGCTCATTTTGTGCTGCCGATATACACAAAAACAAAAATTGGGAAAATGTATTTTTTTAATATCATAAACTGCTATCTTATATCATTAGATGATAACTCACTTGGATTTTCTTTTATAGAATTAGGGTGACAAACGAGCACATAGTCCACCTGATGGTAAGTGGTTGCTGTGGCCCATAGACATCTACATTTATCCTCGATTACGTATCAAAATGTAGATGGGTGTCACCCCTGTGGACTTAGATGGAAAACACTCACCATACGAAACACAGCAGCGTTAAGCTGCTACTTTACGCTGGTATTCTGTGAGAGCGTGGTCCTTCCCCGGTCGAGCCGACCCATTCGTGCTAAAACTATAATATCATTAGTATAGATACAGCTTAAAGTAATATCCAAGTAGTAAAGTAAAATCGTAGCTGAAATTCTGTATAAATGGATGTCAATTTTTTCATTACATACTCTGCGAACAATGTCAAAGTAGCAGAATTTATGATATTAAAAAAATATATATTTTCCCAATATTTGTTTTTGCGTGTATCGGTAGCACTAAATGAGCACTAAATTTTTGACGCTTCTAATTGGTGCTGTATTAAGCGGTTGTCGTTTTAATAGGTAGAACACTGCTAGCTTAATTGAAAGCTAGCAGTTTTCTAATTTTTCATCAAGCTATTTTGGCGTGAAATTTAAATTTGCAGCACTAAATTAGCACTAAATGAGCACTAAATATTAAGCAAAAATTTAAGTGATTTAGCCCAAATGACCATTCCAGCTTAACAGACCTTTTTAATTGCTCATTAAGCATCCATCCCCGCAACAATTATAGTAGGGATGGCGCTTTTCCATTATAATTTATCAAATAGATAGGTAATATACATATATCTTATTCTTAAATTACATTAAAACTTTTTCAACTATTTTATCCTACAATTAAATATACTAAACACTAAACAAAAACTATTTCGACTGGTACTTCAACAAGTATTTACAAAAAATTATTTACGTATATAGCGTTAAAAAAAATTAACATTCAATCGTATAGAGCGCGCTAACCCCGACTGCGATCTACCCCTGGGGCAGCTCGCGATTGTAGGTAATTATTTCACGCAGGTAGCAAGAGTGACAGAGGCCTGGCTCTACCATGTAAATATTTATGTTTCCGTTTGATAATGAACGATGTTTTTAGGACCAAATTACTTTCGTCAGTACCGTTGTTTCCAATATTTGCCGATGCACAATATTTATTCTGATGTACTGTAATAATTGACAATGTTGATCGTATTTTTCTTATGTGCGCAATGTATTGACGTTTAAGATTGTATATTAAGTGCCCGGTAATTAGTCGATAAACCAAAAAATATAGTGCAATATTTTTTGTGTGTGAGCCACCCATCATCTATCCATTATAACCAATAAATGTCCACTGCTAAACATAGGCCCCATCCAATGATTTCCTCTTAGGGAGGATTTTGCCATTGTTGCCACCTTGGCAAGCGGGATGGCAACCGCAGATTTTTTTATGATTTCGAGTTGTTATCAGGAAGATGTTGCTGGCCAATTCATGTGCGACCTACACGGTAACTAGACTACTATGTGTGTTAACTTTTTAGTGCAGAAGTGGCTCAATTATTTTTTTTTGACAAGAGGGATTTCAAAATGATATAAATCACTTTTGCAATTGCTTCTTATGTTAGAAATTGAATTATTCCATTTAATGTGCAAATAAGAGTAAATTTGAGAAATATTTTTAGGTTTAATTATACCTTACTCTTTAACGGTGGTAGAGCCCTGCAGCAGTTTTTTGCTGTTGCACGTATGGGCCGGCTCGAGCCGGGTTGGTACCACGACCTCACAGAATACCGGCGTGAAGTAGAGGCTCTGCTTCTGCGTTTCGTCTGGTGAGTGCAGGTGGCCGGAGGCCCAATTCCCCCCCCCCCCCCCCATCAACATGGTAGCGGAATTAGACAATAGACTACCCCAGGAGGGTACCAGTACCCCTGGAGAATCCCTCGCTGAGCATCCACGACCATGTTATTCCAATCCTGAGCGTGGGTGCTCAGACTGCCCCGCGTATTCTGGGGGGGGCAAAATTCCGCTCAAAAACAAAACTGCTCGGGGCAAGCTGAGCAACAATACCAAGGCGAACCCTGCCACGCTATCCGTGAATTTCTGCAACATCAGGGGACTTCACTATAACCTAAACGCCGTCCACTACCATCTCGAGACGGCGAAGCCGGCCTTGCTCTTTTTGACCGAGACGCAGGTTTCCTCTCCGACTGATATTTCGTATCTCTCCTACTCGGGGTACAAATTGGAGCACTCCTTTGTGCCTCGGGCTGGAGTTTGCGTGTATGTTAGAGAGGACATCTGTTCTCGACGCCTCGGCAGTCTTGAAGGTTCGGACCTGTCCATCCTTTGGCTACGCGTAGACAGCGACGACCATCCGCGCGTCTACGGGTGCCTCTATAGGTCCCATAGCGGTAATGCCGAAACAGACCGACTCATCGACCACGTCCAAATGGCTACAGATTCCTTGCTACAACAGGTCCCATCCGCAGAGATCGTGATCCTTGGCGATTTTAACGCCCACCATGCCGAATGGCTCGGTTCACGTTTAACCGATCATGCGGGGAGATCTGTTTATGACTTTGCCTTGGCATATGGTCTGACACAACTGGTTACTTCGCCTACGCGGATTCCAGATG